TACACTACTATACACTATACACTACACCACTATACACTACACCACTATACACTACACCACTATACACTACACTACTATACACTATACACTACACCACTATACACTACACTACTATACACTACACTACTATACACTACACTATACACTACACTACTCTACTATACACTACACTACTATACACTACACTACTCTACTATACACTATACACTACACTACTATACACTACACTACTATACACTACACCACTATACACTACACTACTATACACTACACTATACACTACACTACTCTACTATACACTACACTACTATACACTACACTATACACTACACTACTCTACTATACACTATACACTACACTACTATACACTACACTATACACTACACTACTCTACTATACACTACACTACTATACACTACACTATACACTACACTACTCTACTATACACTATACACTACACTACTATACACTACACTACTATACACTACACCACTATACACTACACTACTATACACTACACTACTATACACTACTCTACTATACACTACTCTACTATACACTACACTACTATACACTACACTATACACTACACTACTATACACTACACTATACACTACACTACTCTACTATACACTATACACTACTCTACTATACACTACACTACTATACACTACACTATACACTACACTACTATACACTACACTATACACTACACTACTCTACTATACACTATACACTACTCTACTATACACTACACTACTATACACTACACTATACACTACACTACTATACACTACACTATACACTACACTACTCTACTATACACTATACACTACTCTACTATACACTACACTACTATACACTACACTATACACTACACTACTCTACTATACACTATACACTACTCTACTATACACTACACTACTATACACTACACTATACACTACACTACTCTACTATACACTATACACTACTCTACTATACACTACACTACTATACACTACACTATACACTACACTACTCTACTATACACTATACACTACTCTACTATACACTACACTACTATACACTACACTATACACTACACTACTATACACTACACTATACACTACTCTACTATACACTATACACTACTCTACTATACACTACACTACTATACACTACACTATACACTACACTACTATACACTACACTATACACTACACTACTCTACTATACACTATACACTACTCTACTATACACTACACTACTATACACTACACTATACACTACACTACTATACACTACACTATACACTACACTACTCTACTATACACTATACACTACTCTACTATACACTACACTACTATACACTACACTATACACTACACTATACTATACACTATACACTACTCTACTATACACTACACTACTATACACTACACTATACACTACACTACTCTACTATACACTACTCTACTATACACTACACTACTATACACTACACTATACACTACACTACTCTACTATACACTATACACTACTCTACTATACACTACACTACTATACACTACACTATACACTACACTACTCTACTATACACTACACCATACACTACACTACTCTACTATACACTATACACTACTCTACTATACACTACACTACTATACACTACACTATACACTACACTACTCTACTATACACTACACTATACACTACACTACTCTACTATACACTATACACTACTCTACTATACACTACACTACTATACACTACACTATACACTACACTACTCTACTATACACTACACTATACACTACACTACTCTACTATACACTATACACTACTCTACTATACACTACACTACTATACACTACACTATACACTACACTACTCTACTATACACTATACACTACTCTACTATACACTACACTACTATACACTACACTATACACTACACTACTCTACTATACACTACACTATACACTACACTACTCTACTATACACTATACACTACTCTACTATACACTACACTACTATACACTACACTATACACTACACTACTCTACTATACACTATACACTACTCTACTATACACTACACTACTATACACTACACTATACACTACACTACTCTACTATACACTACACTATACACTACACTACTCTACTATACACTATACACTACTCTACTATACACTACACTACTATACACTACACTATACACTACACTACTCTACTATACACTACTCTACTATACACTACACTACTATACACTACACTACTCTACTATACACTATACACTACTCTACTATACACTACACTACTATACACTACACTATACACTACACTACTATACACTACACTATACACTACACTACTCTACTATACACTATACACTACTCTACTATACACTACACTACTATACACTACACTATACACTACACTACTCTACTATACACTATACACTACTCTACTATACACTACACTACTATACACTACACTATACACTACACTACTCTACTATACACTACACTATACACTACACTACTCTACTATACACTATACACTACTCTACTATACACTACACTACTATACACTACACTATACACTACACTACTCTACTATACACTATACACTACTCTACTATACACTACACTACTATACACTACACTATACACTACACTACTCTACTATACACTACACTATACACTACACTACTCTACTATACACTATACACTACTCTACTATACACTACACTACTATACACTACACTATACACTACACTACTCTACTATACACTATACACTACTCTACTATACACTACACTACTATACACTACACTATACACTACACTACTCTACTATACACTACACTATACACTACACTACTCTACTATACACTATACACTACTCTACTATACACTACACTACTATACACTACACTATACACTACACTACTCTACTATACACTATACACTACTCTACTATACACTACACTACTATACACTACACTATACACTACACTACTCTACTATACACTACACTATACACTACACTACTCTACTATACACTATACACTACTCTACTATACACTACACTACTATACACTACACTATACACTACACTACTCTACTATACACTATACACTACTCTACTATACACTACACTACTATACACTACACTACTCTACTATACACTATACACTACTCTACTATACACTACACTACTATACACTACACTATACACTACACTACTATACACTACACTATACACTACACTACTCTACTATACACTATACACTACTCTACTATACACTACACTACTATACACTACACTATACACTACACTACTCTACTATACACTATACACTACTCTACTATACACTACACTACTATACACTACACTATACACTACACTACTCTACTATACACTACACTATACACTACACTACTCTACTATACACTATACACTACTCTACTATACACTACACTACTATACACTACACTATACACTACACTACTCTACTATACACTATACACTACTCTACTATACACTACACTACTATACACTACACTATACACTACACTACTCTACTATACACTACACTATACACTACACTACTCTACTATACACTATACACTACTCTACTATACACTACACTACTATACACTACACTATACACTACACTACTCTACTATACACTATACACTACTCTACTATACACTACACTACTATACACTACACTACTCTACTATACACTATACACTACTCTACTATACACTACACTACTATACACTACACTATACACTACACTACTATACACTACACTATACACTACACTACTCTACTATACACTATACACTACTCTACTATACACTACACTACTATACACTACACTATACACTACACTACTCTACTATACACTACACTATACACTACACTACTCTACTATACACTATACACTACTCTACTATACACTACACTACTATACACTACACTATACACTACACTACTCTACTATACACTACACTATACACTACACTATACACTACACTACTCTACTATACACTACACTATACACTACACTATACACTACACTACTCTACTATACACTACACTATACACTACACTATACACTACACTACTCTACTATACACTACACTATACACTACACTATACACTACACTATACACTACACTACTCTACTATACACTATACACTACTCTACTATACACTACTATACACTACACTATACACTACACTACTATACACTACACTATACACTACACTACTCTACTATACACTATACACTACTCTACTATACACTACACTACTATACACTACACTATACACTACACTACTCTACTATACACTACACTATACACTACACTACTCTACTATACACTATACACTACTCTACTATACACTACACTACTATACACTACACTATACACTACACTACTCTACTATACACTACACTATACACTACACTATACACTACACTACTCTACTATACACTACACTATACACTACACTATACACTACACTACTCTACTATACACTACACTATACACTACACTATACACTACACTATACACTACACTATACACTACACTACTCTACTATACACTACACTATACACTACACTATACACTACACTATACACTACACTACTCTACTATACACTACACTATACACTACACTATACACTACACTATACACTACACTATACACTACACTATACACTACACTATACACTACACTACTCTACTATACACTATACACTACACTACTCTACTATACACTATACACTACACTACTCTACTATACACTATACACTACACTACTCTACTATACACTATACACTACACTACTCTACTATACACTATACACTACACTACTCTACTATACACTACACCACTATACTCGTCTCCGCTTTCGCGTGAACATGTACACGCCACGCCGTTGTTTATACATCGACGCGGGGGGGGGCAGGGGGGGCACGCGGCCGAGTACTCACAGGTCCAGGGGGCGGCTGGGCGGGCAGACTCCAGTCATGTGGTGGAGTCGAGGACTGGTCACGTTGCGGACTGGTGGACTGGTCGCGTGACTGACTTGAGGACTTGTCGCGTGACTGACTGGTGGACTGGTCGCGTGACTGACTGGTGGACTGGTCACGTGACTGACTCGAGGACTGGTCACGTGACTGACTGGTGGACTGGTCGCGTGACTGACTTGAGGACTGGTCACGTGACTGACTTGAGGACTGGTCACGTGACTGACTTGAGGACTGGTCACGTGACTGACTTGAGGACTGGTCACGTGACTGACTTGAGGACTGGTCGCGTGACAGACTGGTGGACTGGTCGCGTGACTGACCGGTGGACTGGTCACGTGACTGACCGGTGGACTGGTCACGTGACTGACTCGAGGACTTGTCGCGCGACTGACTTGAGGACTTGTCACGTGACTGACTGGTGGACTGGTCACGTGACTGACTTGAGAACTGGTCACGTGACTGACTGGTGGACTGGTCGCGTGACTGACTGGTGGACTGGTCGCGTGACTGACTGGTGGACTGGTCGCGTGACTGACAGGTGGACTGGTCGCGTGACTGACTTGAGGACCGGTCACGTGACTGACTGGTGGACTGATCACGTGACTGACTTGACTGGTCACGTGACCGACTTGAAAACCGGTCACGTGACTGACAGGTGGACTGGTCACGTGACTGACTTGAGGACTGGTCACATGACTGACTGGTAGACTGGTCACGTGACCGGCTTGAGGACCAGTCACGTGACGGACTGGTGGTGATTGACGGATGAGCGGTGATGGTGGTGGATAACTGATGAGCGGTGATGGTGGTGGATAACTGATGAGCGGTGATGGTGGTGGATAACTGATGAGCGGTGATGGTCGCTGACGGATGAATTCTGACGGTGTTGGTGGTTGACTGATGAGTGGTGATTGTGGTGGTGGTGATTGACAGATGAGCGGTGATGGTGGTGGATAACTGATGAGCGGTGACCGTGGTCGTGGTGGCTGACTGATGAGCGGTGATGGTCGCTGACGGACGAATGCTGACGGTGTTGGTGGATAACTGATGAGCTGCGATGGTGGTGCCGGACACGTGCGAGGCTGAGCATTGACACGTGACATGTGGACAGCGCCAGTCGTGGCTGGCACAGTCTTGACACTGGTGGTGATGGTGGTGGTGCTGGTGGCAGCGGTGACGGTGGTGGTAGCAGACGGAGTAGTGGTGTTGTTGGTGGGTGTGGTGGTGGTGGTGGCAGTGGTGACGGGGGTGGTAGCAGACGTAGTGGTGGTGTTGTTGGTGGGTGTGCTGGTGGCAGTAGCAGACGGAGTGGTGGCGTTGTTGGTGGGTGTGCTGGTGGTGGTGGCAGTAGCAGACGTAGTGGTGGTGTTGTTGGTGGATGTGGTGGTGGTGGTGGCAGTGGTGACGGGGGTGGTAGCAGACGTAGTGGTGGTGTTGTTGGTGGGTGTGCTGGTGGTAGCAGCAGATGTAGTGGTGGCGTTGTTGGTGGATGTGGTGGTGGTGGTGGTGGCAGTGGTGACGGGGGTGGCAGCAGACGTAGTGGTGGCGTTGTTGGTGGGTGTGGTGGTGATGGTGGCAGTAGCAGACGGAGTGGTGGCGTTGTTGGTGGGTGTGGTGGTGGTGGTGGCGGTAGCAGACAGAGTGGTGGCGTTGTTGGTGGGTGTGCCGGTGTCGCTGCCGGTGGTCATGGTGGCAATGCCAACGCAACCGCTGCTGTGGTTGCTGCTGCTACCACAGTCGCCCTCCCCCACCTCCTCCTCCCCACCCACCTCCTCCTCCTCCTCCTCCCCCCCCACCACCTCCTCCTCCTCCTCCTCCTCCGCCCCCCGCTGCCGCCCCCTGCGACGCGGGGTCCCGGGCCCCTCCGCTCCGGCGCCGGACGCCAGCGCTCGCAGGAGAGCGGCCGCGTGGCCCGGGTTGGCTTGGGCGAAGCCGCGGCTCGTCAGCTGGGCGTGGACGCTCGGCTCCACGGCCTCCGCGCGCAAGCCAGGAAGCCACGTACGCCGGTGCTGCCAGAGGAGGAGGAGGAGTGAGGTTATCAGCGAGCGGCACCCGTGAGAGCCGGCGCCGTGCCTGGGAACCGATATTTGAATCGGGGTTGGTTTCGGGGGGCAGCGCCACGGGTGGCTAGGAGATGTTGACTACCTCGCCCGGTACGCAGGAGGTCGTGGGCTTGATCCCGACCCTGACCCCTGCTGTATATTTGGAGTCTGCGTCTCTCTCTCATCATCATCATCATCACGGTGGCTAGGAGATGTTGACTACCTCGCCCGGTACGCAGGAGGTCGTGGGTTTGATCCTGACCCCTGCTGTATATTTGGAGTCTGCGTCTCTCTCTCATCATCATCATCATCACGGTGGCTAGGAGATGTTGACTACCTCGCCTGGTACGCAGGAGGTCGTGGGCTTGATTCCGACCCTGACCCCTGCTGTATATTTGGAGTCTGCGTCTCTCTCTCATCATCATCATCACGGTGGCTAGGAGATGTTGACTACCTCGCCCGGTACGCAGGAGGTAGTGGGTTTGATCCCGACCCTGACCCCTGCTGTATATTTGGAGTCTGCGTCTCTCTCTCATCATCATCATCATCACGGTGGCTAGATGTTGACTACCTCGCCCGGTACGCAGGAGGTCGTGGGCTTGATTCCGACCCTGACCCCTGCTGTATATTTGGAGTCTGCGTCTCTCTCTCATCATCATCACGGTGGCTAGGAGATGTTAAGATACCTCGCCCGGTACGCAGGAGGTCGTGGGTTTGATCCCTACCCTGACCCCTGCTGTAGATGTGGAGTCTGCGTCTCTCTCTCATCATCACGGTGGCTAGGAGATGTTGACTACCTCGCCTGGTACACAGGAGGTCGTGGGCTTGATTCCGACCCTGACCCCTGCTGTATATTTGGAGTCTGCGTCTCTCTCTCATCATCATCATCACGGTGGCTAGATGTTGACTACCTCGCCCGGTACGCAGGAGGTCGTGGGCTTGATCCCGACCCTGACCCCTGCTGTATATTTGGAGTCTGCGTCTCTCTCTCATCATCACGGTGGCTAGATGTTAGATACCTCACCCGGTACGCAGGAGGTCGTGGTTTGATCCCTACCCTGACCCCTGCTGTATATTGAGTCTGCATCTCTCTCTCATCATCACGGTGGCTAGTAGATGTTAAGATACCTCGCCCGGTACGCAGGAGGTCGTGGGTTTGATCCTGACCCCTGCTGTATATTTGGAGTCTGCGTCTCTCTCTCTCATCATCACGGTGGCTAGGAGATGTTGACTACCTCGCCTGGTACGCAGGAGGTCATGGGTTTGATCCTGACCCCTGCTGTATATCTGGAGTCTGCGTCTCTCTCTCATCATCACAGTGGATAGATGTTAGATACCTCACCCGGTACGCAGGAGGTCGTGGTTTGATCCCTACCCTGACCCCTGCTGTATATTGAGTCTGCGTCTCTCTCTCATCATCATCATCACGGTGGCTAGGAGATGTTGACTACCTTGCCTGGTACGCACGAGGTCGTGGGTTTGATCCTGACCCCTGCTGTATATTTGGAGTCTGCGTCTCTCTCTCATCATCACGGTGGCTAGGAGATGTTGACTACCTCGCCCGGTACGCAGGAGGTCGTGGGTTTGATCCCGACCCATGACCCCTGCTGTATATAGAGTCTGCGTCTCTCTCTCATCATCATCATCACGGTGGCTAGGAGATGTTGACTACCTCGCCTGGTACGCAGGAGGTCGTGGGTTTGATCCTGACCCCTGCTGTATATTTGGAGTCTGCGTCTCTCTCTCATCATCACGGTGGATAGATGTTAGATACCTCACCTGGTACGCAGGAGGTCGTGGTTTGATCCCTACCCTGACCCCTGCTGTATATTGAGTCTGCGTCTCTCTCTCATCATCATCATCACGGTGGCTAGGAGATGTTGACTACCTCGCCTGGTACGCAGGAGGTCGTGGGTTTGATCCTGACCTCTGCTGTATATTTGGAGTCTGCGTCTCTCTCTCATCATCACGGTGGCTAGTAGATGTTAGATACCTCGCCCGGTACGCAGGAGGTCGTGGGTTTGATCCCTACCCTGACCCCTGCTGTAGATGTGGAGTCTGCGTCTCTCTCTCATCATCACGGTGGCTAGAAGATGTTGACTACCTCGCCTGGTACGCAGGAGGTCGTGGGTTTGATCCCAACCCATGACCCCTGCTGTATATTTGGAGTCTGCGTCTCTCTCTCATCATCACGGTGGCTAGGAGATGTTGACTACCTCGCCTGGTACACAGGAGGTCGTGGGCTTGATTCCGACCCTGACCCCTGCTGTATATTTGGAGTCTGCGTCTCTCTCTCATCATCATCATCACGGTGGCTAGGAGATGTTGACTACCTCGCCCGGTACACAGGAGGTCGTGGGTTTGATCCCGACCCTGGCCCCTGCTGTATATTTGGAGTCTGCGTCTCTCTCTCATCATCACGGTGGCTAGTAGATGTTAAGATACCTCGCCCGGTACGCAGGAGGTCGTGGGTTTGATCCTGACCCCTGCTGTATATTTGGAGTCTGCGTCTCTCTCTCTCATCATCACGGTGGCTAGGAGATGTTGACTACCTCGCCTGGTACGCAGGAGGTCATGGGTTTGATCCTGACCCCTGCTGTATATCTGGAGTCTGCGTCTCTCTCTCATCATCACGGTGGATAGATGTTAGATACCTCACCCGGTACGAAGGAGGTCGTGGTTTGATCCCTACCCTGACCCCTGCTGTATATTGAGTCTGCGTCTCTCTCTCATCATCATCATCATCACGGTGGCTAGGAGATGTTGACTACCTCGCCTGGTACGCAGGAGGTCGTGGGTTTGATCCCGACCCTGACCCCTGCTGTATATTTGGAGTTTGCATCTTTCTCTATATCTCCGTGGTCAAGTTGATTTTTCTCACCAGGTCCTCCGTTTATTTTTCCCTCCACATTTAGAATGGACGTCACCACACGTTCAGAGTGTTTGGCTGCTGCTATCAATGTCCACGTGATGATGGTGGTGATGATGGTGATGATGTTGGTGATGATGGTGATGATGGTGATGATGATGGTGATGACGGTGATGATGATGATGGTGATGATGATGGTGGTGATGATGGTGATGATGATGGTGATGATGATCGTGATGATGGTGATGATGGTGGTGGTGATGATGATGGTGATGATGGTGATGATGATGGTGATGATGGTGATGGTGGTGATGATGGTGATGATGATGGTCATGATGATGGTGATGATGGTGATGATTCACTATCGTTGAGCTGCTATCATTTGCGATGGCCCAGGGCATTCTGAAAAAGAGCTACACAGCTCAGAGGGGGTGTGTGTGTGCAGGTGTGTGTGTGTGCGGGTGTGTGTGTGAGGGTGTGTGTGTGTATGTACGAGTGTGACTGTGTGTGTGTGCTGGTGTTTGTGTGTGCGGGTGTGTGTGTGTGCGGGTGTGTGTGTGTGCGTGTGTGTGTGCTGGTGTGTGTGTGCTGTTGTGTGCTGGTGTGTGTGCTGGTGTGTGTGTACTGGTGTGTGTGTACTGGTGTGTGTGTGTGCTGGTGTGTGTGTGCTGACTTCAGCTGAGGCTGCGGTGCCTCAAATATTGGAAGAAGTCACCTCCTGTGAGTGGCTGGCTTAGGTGCCATCTGTTGAGGAAGTACTGAGGGCAATCCGGAGTCTGAGACCAGGAAAGGCAGCGGGCAGAGATGATCTCCCAAGCGAAATGCTGAGGGAGGGTGGCGTTTGTGCACAGACTGCCCTATATGACATCATAACAACAGTCTGGACCACTGGACGGGTTCCGCAGGATTGGAAGGATGCCCTGGTGGTCCCCCTTTTTAAGAAGAGGGACGGCACAGACTGTAACAGCTACAGGGGCATTCACTCCTCAGTGTGCCAGGAAAGGTCCTGGCAAGGATTATTCAGCATTGCCTTGCCAGGCACGCTGAGGAGAGGCTTGCGGAGCCCCAATGCGGTTTCAGGAAAGGGCGGTCTTGCACAGATGCCATATTTTCTGTCCATCTGCTACAGCAGAGGTGTAGGGAATTCCAAAAAGACCTACATCTCTGCTTTATTGACCTGATCAAGGCCTATGATACCATCAGTAGGCCTGGGCTCTGGGTTGTTCTTCGTGCTTTTGGAGTACCTGACCCTCTGCTCACGATCATTAAGGACCTTCATGATGGTGGGTGGGCCCGGGTAAAACTACGTGGCCTGGAGTCAGAGCCATTCCCTGTACACCTTGGGGTGCGACAGGAATGTCCTCTGGCTCCCACATTTAACATCTATTTTGACCAAGTAGTTCGTGAAGCCTTCAATAGCTGTACCGGAAGAATCTCCATATGGTACAGATATAATGGGAGGCTGATCGATGCCCGGGTGCGGTCAAGGGATGGCTCCCTATTGCTCAACCACGTTATGTATGCTGATGATTTGGTAATAGCTGCTCATTCAGAGGAGGAGTTGGAGACGCTGCTGCTGAGACTGGAGCGTGCCACTAAGAGGTGGGGGCCTTACCATCAGCCCCACCAAAACTAAGCACCTGCCTGGGTATTTTGTATCATCGGACACTACACCCCCACAACTCCCAATCGGTGATGGGGCAGTTGTGGAGCGAGTGGAGAGTTTCCCATACCTGGGAAGTGTGCTTATGACCGGCTCCAGTTTAACAGCAGAGGTCTCACTCCGAATCAGTCGAGCGGCAATATCTTTTCATCGGTTGCGTAACGCTGTGTGGAAGCTACCTGGTCTGTCGCTCCGCACTAAGCTTCAAGTCTTCTCGGCCACGGTCATTCCCTCCCTTCTCTACGCTTGCGAAACGTGGACCCCCCTAATGGAACATCTTCGCCGGTTAGAAACATTTAGGCTGGCCTGCCTACGATCCATCCTGGGTTTAACCAGACTGGATTGTGTGAGGAGCTCACAAATCCTTGAAAGATCTGGGCAAGGTCCCATCGGTGAGCTCCTCCGGCGGGCAAGGCTTCGATGGCTGGGTCATGTAGCCCGCATGCCCAGCCACCGCATGCCGAAACAGCTTTTGTTCGACCGGATTGAGGGGGCTAAACGGGCGCGGCACGGGCTAGAGAAGAGATGGAGTGATGTGGTACAGGAGGACGTGGAGCTGAGTGGACTTGCCGATGACTGGTACCAGCGGTGTCAAGATCGGCCTCTGTGGAGGAGGCTCGTGAAGGACGCTACTGGGCAGTTGGAGGTAGTCGCCCTCCAACAACAACGGAGGGCGGAGGAGCGACGCTCACAACAACGAGCCGAGCGCCAGGTGGCTAAAGCACAGCGGGTTGGCACAGTAGGGGGCACAGGTGGTGCATCAGCTAGTCATCTCAGTCAGTCGACCCGTGGCACCTGGGTCTGCCCCGTGACCTCCTGCCAGCGGGCGTTCGACACTTCACGTAGCCTCAGGGTGCACATAGCCTGGCACAAGCGTCGTGGTGACGTCACCGCCACTTAGTTGTGAATGGCGGTTGTTGTTGTTGTGTGTGCTGTTGTGTGTGTGTGCTGTTGTGTGTGTGTGCTGTTGTGTGTGTGTGCTGTTGTGTGTGTGCTGTTATGTGTATGCTGGTGTGTATGTGTGCTGTTGTGTGTGTGCTGGTGTGTGTGTGTGCTGGTGTGTGTGCTGGTGTGTGTGTGTGCTGGTGTGTGTGTGTGCTGGTGTGTGTGCCGGTGTGTGTGTGTACCGGTGTGTGTGTGTGTGCTGGTGTGTGTGTGTGCTGGTGTGTGTGTGCTGGGGTGTGTGTGTGCGTGTGCTGGTGTGTGCTGGTGTGTGTGTGTGTGCTGGTGTGTGTGTGTGTGCTGGTGTGTGTGTGTGCTGGTGCGTGTGTGTGCTGGTGTGTGTGTGTGTGCTGGTTAGAAACATTTAGGCTGGCCTGCCTACGATCCATCCTGGGTTTAACCAGACTGGATTGTGTGAGGAGCTCACAAATCCTTGAAAGATCTGGGCAGGGTCCCATCGGTGAGCTCCTCCGGCAGGCAAGGCTGCGATGGCTGGGTCATGTAGCCCGCATGCCCAGCCACCGCATGCCGAAACAGCTTTTGTTTGGCCGGATTGAGGGGGCTAAGCGGGCGCGGCACGGGCTAGAGAAGAGATGGAGTGATGTGGTACAGGAGGACGTGGAGCTGAGTGGACTTGCCGATGACTGGTACCAGCGGTGTCAAGATCGGCCTCTGTGGAGGAGGCTCGTGAAGGACGCTACTGGGCAGTTGGAGGCAGTCGCCCTCCAACAACAACGGAGGGCGGAGGAGCGACGCTCACAACAGCGAGCGGAGCGCCGGGTGGCTAAAGCACAGCAGGTTGGCACAGTAGGGGGCACAGGTGGTGCATCAGCCAGTCATCTCAGTCAGTCGACCCGTGGCACCTGGGTCTGCCCCGTGACCTCCTGCCAGCGGGCGTTCGACACTTCACGTGGCCTCAGGGTGCACATAGCCTGGCACAAGCGTCGTGGTGACGTCACCGCCACTTAGTGGTGAATGGCGGTTGTTGTTGTTGTGTGTGCTGGTGTGTGTGTGTGCTGTTGTGTGTGTGCTGTTATTTGTATGCTGGTGTGTGTGTGTGCTGTTGTGTGTGTGCTGGTCTGTGTGTGTGCTGGTGTGTGTGCTGGTGTGTGTGTGTGCTGGTGTGTGTGTGTGTGCTGGTGTGTGTGTGTGCTGGTGTGTGTGTGTGCTGGTGTGTGTGCTGGTGTGTGTGTGTGTGCTGGTGTGTGTGTGTGTGCTGGTGTGTGTGTGTGCTGGTGTGTGTGTGTGTGCTGGTGTGTGTGTGTGCTGGTGTGTGTGTGTGCTGGTGTGTGTGTGTGCTGGTGTGTGTGTGTGTGCTGGTGTGTGTGCTGGTGTGTGTGTGTGTGCTGGTGTGTGTGCTGGTGTGTGTGTGCTGGTGTGTGTGCTGTTGTGTGTGTGCTGGTGTGTGTGTGTTGGTGTGTGTGTGCTGGTGTGTGTGTGCTGGTGTGTGTGTGTGCTGGTGTGTGTGTGTGTGCTGGTGTGTGTGTGCTGGTGTGTGTGTGTGTGCTAGTGTGTGTGCTGGTGTGTGTGTGCTGGTGTGTGTGTGTGTGCTGGTGTGTGTGCGTGTGCTCGTGTGTGTGCTGGTGTGTGTGTGTGTGTGTGCTGGTGTGTGTGTGTGCTGGTGTGTGTGTGTGTGCTGGTGTGTGTGTACGCTAGTGTGTGTGTGCGTGCTGGTGTGTGTGCGTGTGTGCTGGTGTGTGTGTGCTGGTGTGTGTGTGTGCTGGTGTGTGTGTGTGTGCTGGTGTGTGTGTGTGCTGGTGTGTGTGTGTGCTGGTGCGTCTGTGTGCTAGTGTGTGTGTGTGTGCTGGTGTGTGCGTGTGCTGGTGTGTGTGTGTGTGCTGGTGTGTGTGTGTGCGTGTGCTGGTGTGTGTGTGTGCGCGCTGGTGAGCGTGGGGGGTGAGGTGGCGAGCGACTCACGAGCGAGTCCACCCACAGCGTGTCCTCAGCGGCGAGGGCGACGCTCCCCTCCACCACCGTGCCCTGCACCGCGTCGCGCACGAACGTCAGCGCCTGCCCACAGAGACAAAGGCAGAGGTCCCCCGTGTAGCCTCGACAGACCGTTGGGGCAAGGGCGGTTAGCGAGCAGCACCTGTGAAGGCCGGCACCGTGGCACACGAGGGGGGGTGGGTGGCCAGCACCACCACCACGCCCGGCCGCCTTTGTCTCTCCCCACCGGCGATGTTCACTACAACACCGCACCAGCTACTACTCATTTGAGGCCGAGTCGACCTAGGGGAAGCCCGGGACCGGTTCAGATCTCCATAATCGTTGCCGGTGATGTTGGCCGTGAGCGGGAATCGAATTCGGGCCGCCGGGTTCGTAGCGCAGAGCGATAACCGCTACACCACCGCTCCCCACGCGCACACACACACACACAGGCACACACACACAGGCACACACACACACACAGTCCCACGTACACACACACACACACAGTCCCACGTACACACACACACACAGGCACACACACAGTCCCACGTACACACAAAGACAATAGACAAAGATCCCCCATATAGCCTGTAACAGACTGACGGGGCAAGTGCTGTTAGCGAGCACCTATGAAGGCCGAAACGGTACACGAGGGGGTGGGTGGCCAGCACCACGCCCGACCGCCTTTGTCTCCCTAGTGGCGATGTTTACACACCGCTACACCAGGTACTCATTTGAGGCTGAGTCGACCTAGGGGAGGCCCGGGACCGGTTCAGATAATCGTCACTGGTGATGTTGGCCGTGAGCGGGAATCGAACCCGGGTCGCCAGGTTCATAGCGCAGCGTAGCGCTAACCGCTACACTATCGCTCCCACACACACACACACAGTCCCACGTACACACACACACATACACACTCAGACACACACAGTCCGGCGTACACGCACACACACACACACAGTCCACACACATACACAAGAGGCAGACACGCATACACACACACACAGTGCCGCGTGTACACCCACACACACACATCACAGGCACACACGCAACAAAAAGACAAAAGGCTCTCCCAGGTAGCCTCTACACGGCGGGCGGGAGAAGAGAGTTAGAGGCGCCTACGAAGGCCCGGCAACGTGGCGCATGACGGAGGGGGTGGCTGGCCTGCTCCGTGCCTGCCCCCCCCCCCAACCAGCACCAATGTTTACAGGCAACACTTTTGCACGCACCGCAGCAGGTACTCGTCTTGAGGTGAACGGGTGGGTGGGTGGGTGGGCTGGGCGGGTGAGGGAGCGTGCGGTTGAGTCAGTGAACGGGTGGGCGAGTGAGGGAGCGAGTGGGTAGGTGATGGGCCGAGTGGGTGAGCGAGGGAACGCGTTGTTGGGTTAACGGCCGGGTCAGCGAGTGAATGAGTGAGTGAGAGAGTGCCTGGGTGAGTGAGGGAGTGCGTGGTTGAGTCAGTGAACGGGTGGGCAAGTGAGGGAGCGAGTGGGTAGGGGATTGACCGAGTGGGTGAGCGAGGGAACGCGTTGTTGGGTTAACGGCTGGGTCAGCGAGTGAATGGGTGAGAGAGTGCCTGGGTGAGTGAGGGAGTGCGTGGTTGAGTCAGTGAACGGGTGGGCGAGTGAGGGAGCGAGTGGGTAGGTGATTGACCGAGTGGGTGAGCGAGGGAACGCGTTGTTGGGTTAACGGCTGGGTCAGCGAGTGGATGAGTGAGTGAGTGCCTGGGTGAGTGAGGGAGTGCGTGGTTGAGTCAGTGAACGGGTGGGCGAGTGAGGGAGCGAGTGGGTAGGTGGTTGGCCGAGTGGGTGAGCGAGGGAACGCGTTGTTGGGTTAACGGCCGGGTCAGCGAGTGAATGAGTGAGTGAGAGAGTGCCTGGGTGAGTGAGGGAGTGCGTGGTTGGGTCAGTGACTGGGTGAGTGAGTGAATGAGTGAGTGAGTGCCTGGGTGAGTGAGGGAGCGTGCGGTTGAGTCAGTGAACGGGTGGGCGAGTGAGGGAGCGAGTGGGTAGGTGATTGACCGAGTGGGTGAGCGAGGGAACGCGTTGTTGGGTTAACGGCTGGGTCAGCGAGTGAATGAGTGAATGAGTGCCTGGGTGAGTGAGGGAGTGCGTGGTTGAGTCAGTGAACGGGTGGGCGAGTGAGGGAGCGAGTGGGTAGGTGATGGGCCGAGTGGGTGAGCGAGGGAACGCGTTGTTGGGTTAACGGCTGGGTCAGCGAGTGAATGAGTGAGTGAGTGCCTGGGTGAGTGAGGGAGTGCGTGGTTGAGTCAGTGAACGGGTGGGCGAGTGAGGGAGCGAGTGGGTAGGTGGTTGACCGAGTGGGTGAGCGAGGGAACGCGTTGTTGGGTTAACGGCTGGGTCAGCGAGTGAATGGGTGAGAGAGTGCCTGGGTGAGTGAGGGAGTGCGTGGTTGAGTCAGTGAACGGGTGGGCGAGTGAGGGAGCGAGTGGGTAGGGGATTAACCGAGTGGGTGAGCGAGGGAACGCGTTGTTGGGTTAACGGCTGGGTGAGTGAGTGAATGGGTGAGAGAGTGCCTGGGTGAGTGAGGGAGTGCGTGGTTGAGTCAGTGAACGGGTGGGCGAGTGAGGGAGCGAGTGGGTAGGTGATTGACCGAGTGGGTGAGCGAGGGAACGCGTTGTTGGGTTAACGGCTGGGTCAGCGAGTGAATGAGTGAGTGAGTGCCTGGGTGAGTGAGGGAGTGTGTGGTTGGGTCAGTGACTGGGTGAGCGAGTGAATGAGTGAATGAGTGCCTGGGTGAGTGAGGGAGTGTATGGTTGGGTCAGTGACTGGGTGAGCGAGTGAATGAGTGAGTGAGAGAGTGCCTGGGTAAGTGAGGGAGTGCGTGGTTGGGTTAACGGCTGGGTGAGCGAGTGAATGAGTGAGTGAGAGAGTGCGTGGGTGAGTGAGGGAGTGTGTGGTTGGGTCAGTGACTGGGTGAGCGAGTGAATGAGTGAATGAGTGCCTGGGTGAGTGAGGGAGTGTGTGGTTGGGTCAGTGACTGGGTGAGCGAGTGAATGAGTGAGTGAGAGAGTGCCTGGGTGAGTGAGGGAGTGCGCGGTTGGGTTAATGACTGAGTGAGCGAGTGAATGAGTCAGAGAGTGAGTGCCTGGGTGCGTGAGGGAGTGAATGAGTGAGTGACTGGGTGAGTGAGTGTGTGGTTGGGTCAGTGACTGGGTGAGTGAATGAGTGAGAGAGTGCCTGGGTGAGTGAGGGAGTGCGTGGTTGGCTTAATGACTGGGTGAGCGAGTGAATGAGTGAGTGACAGAGTGCCTGGGTGAGTGTGTGGTTGGGTTAATGACTGAGTGAGCGAGTGAGTGAATGAGTGAGACAGTGCCTGGGTGAGTGAGTGAGTGCGCGGTTGGGTTAATGACTGAGTGAGCGAGTGAATGAGTCAGAGAGTGAGTGCCTGGGTGCGTGAGGGAGTGAATGAGTGAGTCACTGGGTGAGTGAGTGTGTGGTTGGGTCAGTGACTGGGTGAGTGAATGAGTGAGAGAGTGCCTGGGTGAGTGAGGGAGTGCGTGGTTGGCTTAATGACTGGGTGAGCGAGTGAATGAGTGAGTGACAGAGTGCCTGGGTGAGTGTGTGGTTGGGTTAATGACTGAGTGAGCGAGTGAGTGAATTAGTGAGACAGTGCCTGGGTGAGTGAGTGAGTGCGTGGTTGGGTCAGTGACTGGGTGAGCGAGTGAATGAGTGAGTGAGAGAGTGCCTGGGTGCGTGAGGGAGTGAATGAGTGAGTGACTGGGTGAGTGAGTGTGTGGTTGGGTCAGTGACTGGGTGAGTGAATGAGTGAGAGAGTGCCTGGGTGAGTGAGGGAGTGCGTGGTTGGGTCAGTGACTGGGTGAGCGAGTGAATGAGTGAGTGACAGAGTGCCTGGGTGAGTGTGTGGTTGGGTTAATGACTGAGTGAGCGAGTGAGTGAATGAGTGAGACAGTGCCTGGGTGAGTGAGTGAGTGCGTGGTTGGGTCAGTGACTGGGTGAGCGAGTGAATGAGTGAGTGAGAGAGTGCCTGTGTGCGTGAGGGAGTGAATGAGTGAGTGACTGGGTGAGTGAGTGTGTGGTTGGGTCAGTGACTGGGTGAGTGAATGAGTGAGTGAGTGCCTGGGTGAGTGAGGGAGTGCGTGGTTGGCTTAATGACTGGGTGAGCGAGTGAATGAGTGAGTGACAGAGTGCCTGGGTGAGTGTGTGGTTGGGTTAATGACTGAGTGAGCGAGTGAGTGAATGAGTGAGACAGTGCCTGGGTGAGTGAGTGAGTGCGTGGTTGGGTCAGTGACTGGGTGAGCGAGTGAATGAGTGAGTGAGAGAGTGCCTGGGTGAGTGAGGGAGTGCGTGGTTGGCTTAATGACTGGGTGAGCGAGTGAATGAGTGAGTGACAGAGTGCCTGGGTGAGTGTGTGGTTGGGTTAATGACTGAGTGAGCGAGTGAGTGAATGAGTGAGACAGTGCCTGGGTGAGTGAGGGAGTGCGTGGTTGAGTTGACGACTGGGTGAGCGAGCGATTGAGGGGGCAAGCGAGCGGGTGGACGAGCGAGCGAGCGAGCGAGCGAGCGATTGAGCGTGCGGGTGAGTGGTTATGCGGTCGAGTGATTGAACAGGCTAGATGGGCGTGCGAGCGAGCGAGCGGACGGGCGGGCGAGCGAGCGAGCGGGCGAGCGGGCGAGCGGGCGGGCGGGCGTCCACCTGCGGCGTCCACTCGCAGTCCCCCGCGGCAGGGCGCACGCCGCACAGCACCACGGAGACGGAGAGTGGGGGCGGCCGGGCGGCCAGCGCCGGCGGCAGTGCCAGCAGCTCGCCGGGCCCCACCGTGACAGAGCGGCCCTCGTCCACCAGATCCACCGACAGCAGCGCCGGCGCCGAGCCCTCCGGGACCCCCAGCAGGCGAGCCCTGCGCACACAGGCAAAGGTGCCCGCCCCCACCCCTGCCGTGTAGCCTCGACAGCCCGTTGGGGCAAGTGCTGCCGGCGAGCGCCTGTGAAGGCCGGCACTGTGGCATACTCGCACACTGACACACACTAACACCCACACTGACACACTGACACACACTAACATACACACTCACACTGACACACACTAACATACACACTCACACTGAGACACACTAACACACACTAACATACACACTCACACTGACACACACTAAGACACACTAACATACACACTCACACTGACACACACTAACACACACTAACATACACACTCACACTGACACACACTAACACACACTAACATACACACTCACACTAACACCCACACTGACACACACTAACATACACACTGACACACACTAACATACACACTGACACACCCACATACTCACTAACACACACTGACACACCCACACTGACACACCCACATACTCACTAACACACACTCACAAACTCACACACTCACACACACTAACACACACTGACACACCCACATACTCACTAACACACACTCACAAACTCACATACTCACACACACTAACACACACTGACACACCCACATACTCACTAACACACACTCACAAACTCACATACTTACACACACTAACACACACTGACACACCCACATACTCACTAACACACACTCACAAACTCACATACTTACACACACTAACACACACTGAGACACCCACATACTCACTAACACACACTCACATACTCACATACTTACACACACTAACACACACTCACAAACCCACACTCACTAACACACACACACTCCCATACTCACACACTAACACACACACACTCACACACCCACATACTCACTAACACACACATACTCACACACTAACACACTCACACACCCACATACTCACTAACACACACACACTCGCATACTCACACACTGACACACACTAACACACACTCACACACTTACACACCCACATACTCACTAACACACACACACTCGCATACTCACACACTAACACACACTAACACACACTGACACACCCACATACTCACTAACACACACACACTCGCATACTCGCACACTGACACACACTAACACACACTAACACACACTGACACACCCACATACTCACTAACACACACTCACATACTCACATACTAACACACACTAACACACACTCACACACTAACACACACTGACACACCCACATACTCACTAACACACACACTTACTCGCACACTGACACACACTAACACACACTGACACACCCACATACTCACTAACACACACACACTCGCATACTCACACACTGACACACACTAACACACACTCACACACTGACACACCCACATACTCACTAACACACACACACACTGACACACACTAACACACACACACTGACACACCCACACACACTGACACACCCACATACTCACTAACACACACACAAACTCACACACTGACACACACTAACACACTCACACACTTACACACCCACATACTCACTAACACACACACACTCCCATACTCACACACTGACACACACTAACACACACGCATACTCACACACTGACACACACTAACACACACACTCTCACATACACACTGACACACCCACATACTCACTAACACACAGACACACCCACATACTCACTAACACACAGACACACTCACATACTAACACACACACTCACATACACACTGACACACACACAACGACAATAGTTCCCCCATATACAGTGAGGGAAAAAAAGTATTTGATCCCCTGCTGATTTTGTACGTTTGCTCACTGACAAAGAAATGATCAGTCTATAATTTTAATGGTAGGTTTATTTGAACAGTGAGAGACAGAATAACAAAAAAATCCAGAAAAATGCATGTCAAAAATGTTATAAATTGATTTGCATTTTAATGAGGGAAATAAGTATTTGACCCCTCTGCAAAACATGACTTAGTACCTGCTCACTCATCCACTCGCCCACCCACACGCCCACCCGCTCACTCATCCACTCGCACACCCACCCACTCATAAACTCACCCGCCCACCCGCTCGCTCGCCCACCCGCTCGCTCGCCCACCCACTCGCCCACCCACACGCTCACCCACACGCCCACCCGCTCACTCATCCACTCGCACGCCCACCCGCTCATAAACTCACCCGCCCACCCGCTCGCTCGCCCACCCACACGCTCACCCACACGCCCACCCGCTCACTCATCCACTCGCACGCCCACCCGCTCACAAACTCACCCGCTCACCTGCTCACTCATCCACTCACCCACCCACACGCCCACCCGCTCACTCACCCACACGCTCACCCACACGCCCACCCGATCACTCATCCACTCGCCCGCCCACCCGCTCACTCATCCACTCACCCGCCCACCCGCTCACTCATCCACTCGCCCGCCCACCCGCTCACTCGCCCACCCACTCGCCCACCCAAATGCCCACCCGCTCACTCATCCACTCGCCCGCCCGCCCGCCCGCCCGCCCGCCCACCTGCAGTAGAAGCCGGCTGCCAGCCGCACGCCGTAGAGCTGCCCGGGCACGGGGAGTGGTGGCGCGGCGCCGGGCGCCACGCGGGCGTAGTGCTGGCTCAGCTGGGCGGCCAGACGCAGGTGCACAGTGCTCGTGGTCACGTACGGACCATCACCGTCACCGTCACCCTCACCGCCGGTGGTGGTGGTGGTGCTGGTGTTGTTGGTGGTGGTGGCGGTTGTTGTTGTTGTTGTTTCTGACGGGCGTCGGTAGCGCAGTATCCGCCCGGAGAACTGGGTCACGCACTCCACGTGTGTGACAAGCAGCTGGGGGGGGGGGTGGAGACGCAGAGAGAGGCAGACACACAGAGAGAGACAAACACAGAGAGAGAAACATGTCAGAGATACAGACACACACAGAGAGATACAGACAGACACACAGAGATACAGACAGACACACACACAGAGATACAGACACACAGAGAGACAAACACAGACAGAGAAACATGTCAGAGATACAGACACACAAAGAGATACAGACACACACAGAGATACAGACACACAGAGAGACAAACACAGACAGAGAAACATCCAGAGATACAGACACACACAGAGATACAGACACACAGAGAGACAGACACACAGAGAGACAAACACAGACAAACATCCAGAGATACAGACACACACAGAGATACAGACAGAGACACACACAGATATACAGACACACAGATATACAGACACACAGAGATACACACACAGAGAGAGACACACAGAGAGACAGACACACACACAAAGAGACACACACACAGAGACACAGACAGACACACACACTTATATACAGACACAGAGATACAGACACACAAAGAGACAAACACAGACAGAGAAACATGCAGAGATACAGACAGACACACACACACAGATATACAGAGATACAGACACACACACACAGAGACAGACACACAGAGAGACAGACACACAGAGACACACACACACAGAGACAGACACACAGAGATACAGATACACAGAGAGACACACACACAGAGAGAGACACAGAGAAACATACAGAGATACAGACAGACACAGAGATACAGACAGACACAGAGATACAGACAGACACACACACAGAGATATACAGACACACAGAGATACACACACACACGGAGGGAGACACACACACAGAGACACACACAGAGATACAGACAGACATACACAGAGATACAGACACACAGAGAGGAAGACACACAGGGAGACACACACAGACACACACACAGAGATACAGACACACAGAGAGACAGACACACAGAGAGAGACACACAGGGAGACACACAGAGAGACACACAGAGAGACAGACACACAGAGATACAGACACACAGAGACACACACACAGAGAGACACACACACAGAGACACACACAGAGACACAGACACACAGAGATACACACAGAGACAGACACACAGACACACACAGACACACACACAAAGATACAGACACACAGAGACACACACACACAGAGACACACACACACAGATACAGACACACAAAGAGACAGACACACAGACAGACACACACAGAGAGACAGACACACAGAGACACACACACAGAGACACACACACAGACACACACATACAGAGATACAGACACACAGAGACACAGACACACAGAGAGAGACACACACAGAGAGACAGACACACAGAGATACACACACACAGACAGACACACACACACAGACATACACACAGAGACAGACACACATATACGCACTTTCACAGACACAGAGAGACACAAGAGAGATTCACAGAGACACAAAGGTCAGTGTGGTGAGTTTGGCGAGTGAGTAGTGAGCGAGTGAGCGGTGAGCGAGTGAGCGGTGAGCGAGTGAGCGGGTGAGCGAGTGAGCGGGTGAGCGAGTGAGCGGCGAGCGAGTGAGCGGCGAGCGAGTGAGCGTTGAGCGGTGAGCGAGTGAGTGGTGAGCGAGTGAGCGGGTGAGCGGGTGAGCGGTGAGCGGGTGAGCGGTGAGCGAGTGAGCGAGTGAGTGGTGAGCGAGTGAGCGGTGAGCGAGTGAGTGGTGAGCACGCCTCACCGTGACGCGAGTGCCAGCTGGTAGGGTTGCTGACCGAGTGAAGTGCCGCCCTCCGTAGAGAATGTGTCGCCACTGACAGAGTCGCTCCTGCCTACAGACACAGAGAGACACACAGAGACCCATACATACACCGAGACACACAGAGACACGTATAGTGACACACAGAGACACGTATAGTAACACACAGAAATACACAGAGACCCGTAGTGACACACAGAGATACACAGAGACCCATACATACACAGAGACACACAGAGACCCGTAGAGACACACAGAGATACAAAGAGACACGTAGAGACACGTAGAGACACACAGAGACACGTAGAGACACACAGAGACACACAGAGACCCATAGAGACACACAGAGACCCATATATACACGGAAACACACAGAGACCCGTAGAGACACACAGAGATACACAGAGACACGTAGAGACACACAGAGACCCGTAGAGACCCACAGAGACCCATATATACACAGAGACACACAGAAACCTGTAGCGACACACAGAGATACACAGACACGTAGAGACACGTAGAGACACACAGAGACATGTAGAGACACACAGAGACACACAGAGACCCATACATACACCGAGACACACAGAGACCCGTAGAGACACACAGAGACACACAGAGACACACAGAGACCCATATATACACCGAGACACACAGAGACACGTAGAGACACAGAGACACACAGAGACACACAGAGACCCATACATACACCGAGACACAGAGAGACCCGTAGAGACACACAGAGACACACAGAGACACACAGAGACCCATATATACACAGAGACACGTAGAGACACACAGAGATACACAGAGACACGTAGAGACACACAGAGACACACAGAGACACACAGAGACCCATATATACACCGAGACACACAGAGACACGTAGAGACACACAGAGACACACAGAGACACACAGAGACCCATACATACACCGAGACACAGAGAGACCCGTAGAGACACACAGAGACCCATATATACACCGAGACACACAGAGACACGTAGAGACACACAGAGACCCATACATACACAGAGACACACAGAGACCCGTAGAGAAACACACAGAGATACACAGAGACCCATATATACACAGAGACACGTAGAGACACACAGAGACCCATACATACACCGAGACACACAGAGACACGTATAGTGACACACAGAGACACGTATAGTAACACACAGAAATACACAGAGACCCGTAGTGACACACACAGAGATACACAGAGACCCATACATACACAGAGACACACAGAGACCCGTAGAGACACGTAGAGACACACAGAGACACGTAGAGACACACAGATACACACAGAGACCCATACATACACCGAGACACACAGAGACCCGTAGAGACACACAGAGACCCATATATACCGAGACACACAGAGACCCGTAAAGACACACAGAGATACACAGAGACACGTAGAGACACACAGAGATACACAGAGACACGTAGAGACACACAGAGACACAGAGACCCGTAGAGATACACAGAGACCCATATACACAGAGACACGTAGAGACATACAGAGACCCATACATACACAGAGACCAGTAGAGACGCACAGAGATACACAGAAACCCATACAGAGACACACCCGCCCAGTCACTCACCCACCCGCCCGGTCGCTCACCCACCCACCCACCCCGTCGCTCACCCACCCACCCACCCGGTCGCTCACCCACCCGCCCGGTCGCTCATCCACCCACCCGGTCGCTCACCCACCCACCCACCTGGTCGCTCACCCACCCACCCGCCCTGCCGCTCACCCACCCACCCCGTCGCTCACCCATCCGCACGGCCACTCACCCACCCACCCGCTCACCCACCCACCCACCCGGTCGCTCACCCACCCACCCACCCCGTCGCTCACCCACCCACCCCGTCGCTCACCCACCCACCCACCCGGTCGCTCACTCACCCACCCGCACGGCCACTCACCCACCCACCCACCCGCCCACCCACCCACCCACCCGGTCGCCCACCCACCCACCCACCCGGTCGCTCACCCACCCACCCGCCCGGCCGCTCACCCACCCACCCCGTCGCTCACCCACCCACCCACCCACCCGCCCGCTCACCCGCAAGCGCCCACCCTGGCGAGGCTGGGGCAGAGTGGGCGAGACGCCCTCCGGCGCTCCCTGCGGGCACGCTCGCGGCCCGCGGCTCGGCGCATCTCGGCGGGCACCGGTGAGCCGGTGCGCTCCAGCAGCGCCAGCAGGGGCAGCGCCGCCCGCACGCCGGCGCCCTTCACCGCCAGCGTCACGGAGGAGGGGCCGGTGGCGGCGGCGGGGGGCACCGGCGACCTCGCAGTGACGTCGCCGCCGCGCGGAGCCTGGCGCGGAAGGGGGCGGTGGTGGTGGTGAGGGGTGGTGAGTGAGTGTGGGTGAGTGTGGGTGAGTGTGGGTGAGTGTGGGTGAGTTGAGTGTGGGTGAGTGTGGGTGAGTGAGTGAGTGAGTGTGGGTGAGTGTGGGTGAGTGAGTGAGTGTGGGTGAGTTGAGTGTGGGTGAGTGTGGGTGAGTGTGGGTGAGTGTGGGTGAGTTGAGTGTGGGTGAGTGTGGGTGAGTGTGGGTGAGTTGAGTGTGGGTGAGTGTGGGTGAGTGTGGGTGAGTTGAGTGTGGGTGAGTTGAGTGTGGGTGAGTGTGGGTGAGTTGAGTGTGGGTGAGTGTGGGTGAGTTGAGTGTGGGTGGGTTGAGTGTGAGTGAGTGTGGGTGAGTGTGGGTGGGTGAGTGAGTGTGGGTGAGTTGAGTGTGGGTGAGTGTGGGTGAGTGAGTGAGTGAGTGTGGGTGAGTGTGGGTGGGTGAGTGAGTGTGGGTGAGTTGAGTGTGGGTGGGTGTGGGTGAGTTGAGTGTGGGTGGGTGTGGGTGAGTTGAGTGTGGGTGAGTGTGGGTGAGTGTGGGTGAGTTGAGTGTGGGTGAGTGTGGGTGAGTTGAGTGTGGGTGAGTGTGGGTGAGTTGAGCGTGGGTGGGTGTGGGTGAGTTGAGTGTGGGTGAGTTGAGTGTGGGTGTGGGTGAGTTGAGTGTGGGTGAGTGTGGGTGAGTTGAGTGTGGGTGAGTTGAGTGTGGGTGAGTTGAGTGGGTGGGTGAGTTGAGTGTGGGTGAGTTGAGTGTGAGTGAGTATGGGTGAGTGTGGGTGAGTGAGTGTGGGTGAGTGTGGGTGAGTGAGTGTGGGTGAGTGTGGGTGGGTGAGTGTGGGTGAGTGTGGGTGGGTGAGTGAGTGTGGGTGGGTGAGTTGAGTGTGGGTGAGTGTGGGTGAGTGTGGGTGAGTTGAGTGGGTGGGTGAGTTGAGTGTGGGTGAGTGAGTGTGGGTGAGTGAGTGTGGGTGAGTTGAGTGTGGGTGAGTTGAGTGTGGGTGAGTGTGGGTGAGTGTGGGTGAGTTGAGTGTGGGTGAGTGTGGGTGAGTGTGGGTGAGTTGAGTGTGGGTGGGTTGAGTGTGAGTGAGTGTGGGTGAGCTGAGTGTGAGTGAGTGTGGGTGAGTTGAGTGTGGGTGGGTTGAGTGTGAGTGAGTGTGGGTGAGTGTGGGTGGGTGAGTGAGTGTGGGTGAGTTGAGTGTGGGTGAGTGTGGGTGAGTTGAGTGAGTGAGTGTGGGTGAGTGTGGGTGAGTGAGTGAGTGTGGGTGAGTTGAGTGTGGGTGTGGGTGAGTGTGGGTGAGTGTGGGTGAGTGTGGGTGAGTTGAGTGTGGGTGGGTGTGGGTGAGTTGAGTGTGGGTGGGTGTGGGTGAGTTGAGTGTGGGTGAGTGTGGGTGAGTGTGGGTGAGTTGAGTGTGGGTGAGTGTGGGTGGGTGGGTGAGTGTGAGTGAGTGTGGGTGAGTGAGTGTGGGTGAGTGTGTGTGGGTGGGTGAGTGTGAGTGAGTGTGGGTGAGTTGAGTGTGGGTGGGTGAGTGTGGGTGAGTTGAGTGTGGGTGGGTGTGGGTGGGTGAGTGTGGGTGAGTGAGTGTGGATATAATGGGAGGCTAATCGATGCCCGGGTGCGGTCAAGGGATGGCTCCCTATTGCTCAACCACGTTATGTATGCTGATGACTTGGTAATAGCTGCTCAGTCAGAGGAGGAGTTGGAGACGCTGCTGCTGAGACTGGAGCGTGCCACTAAGAGGTGGGGCCTTACCATCAGCCCCACCAAAACTAAGCACCTGCCTGGGTATTTTGTACCATCGGACACTCCACCCCCACAACTCCCAATCGGTGATGGGGCAGTTGTGGAGAGAGTGGAGAGTTTCCCATACCTGGGCAGTGTGCTTATGACTGACTCGAGTTTAACAGCAGAGGTCTCACTCCGAATCAGTCGAGCGGCAATATCTTTTCATCGGTTGCGTAACGCTGTGTGGAAGCTACCTGGTCTGTCGCTCCGCACTAAGCTTCAGGTCTTCTCGGCCACGGTCATTCCCTCCCTTCTCTACGCTTGCGAAACGTGGACCCCCCTAATGGAACATCTTCGCCGGTTAGAAACATTTAGGCTGGCCTGCCTCCGATCCATCCTCGGTTTAACCAGACTGGATTGTGTGAGGAGCTCACAAATCCTTGAAAGATCTGGGCAGGGTCCCATCGGTGAGCTCCTCCGGCAGGCAAGGCTGCGATGGCTGGGTCATGTAGCCCGCATGCCCAGCCACCGCATGCCGAAACAGCTTTTGTTTGGCCGGATTGAGGGGGCTAAGCGGGCACGGCACGGGCTAGAGAAGAGATGGAGTGATGTGGTACAGGAGGACGTGGAGCTGAGTGGACTTGCCGATGACTGGTACCAGCGGTGTCAAGATCGGCCTCTGTGGAGGAGGCTCGTGAAGGATGCTACTGGGCAGTTGGAGGCAGTCGCCCTCCAACAACAACGGAGGGCGGAGGAGCGACGCTCACAACAGCGAGCGGAGCGCCGGGTGGCTAAAGCACAGCAGGTTGGCACAGTAGGGGGCACAGGTGGTGCATCAGCCAGTCATCTCAGTCAGTCGACCCGTGGCACCTGGGTCTGCCCTGTGACCTCCTGCCAGCGGGCGTTCGATACTTCACGTGGCCTCAGGGTGCACATAGCCTGGCACAAGCGTCGTGGTGACGTCACCGCCACTTAGTGGCGAATGGCGGTTGTTGTTGTTGTTGTTGTGGGTCAGCGAGTGGGTGCGGCGGGTGAGTGTGGGCGAGTTGATTGGGTGGGTGAGTGAGTGTGGGTGAGTGAGTGTGGGTGAGTGTGGGCGAGTTGATTGGGTGGGTGAGTGTGGGCGAGTTGAGTGGGTTAGTGAGTGAGTGAGTGTGGGCGAGTTGATTGGGTGGGTGAGTGTGGGTGAGTGTGGACGAGTTGAGTGGATGAGTGAGTGTGGGCGAGTTGAGTGGATGAGTGAGTGTGGGCGAGTTGATTGGGTGGGTGAGTGAGTGTGGGCGAGTGTGGGTGAGTTGAGTGGGTGGGTGAGTGAGTGTGGGCGAGTGAGTTTGGGTGAGGGGGTGTGGGTGAGTGTGGGTGAGCGGGAGGGTGTGTGAGTGTGGGTGAGTGAGTGTGGGTGAGCGGACGGGTGGGTGGGTGAGTGGGTGAGTGTGGGCGAATTGAATGGGTGAGTGTGGACGAGCGAGTGTGGGGCAGGTGGGGTGGGTCAGGAGGTGGGTGGGTGAGCGAGTGGGTGAGTTGAGTGGGTGGGTGAGTGTGGGCGAGCAGGTGGGTGAGTGAGTGGGTGGGCGAGCGAGCGAGTGAGTGGGTGAGTGAATGAGTCGGTGAGCGGGTAAGTGAGAGAGTAGGTGGGTGAGTGTGTGTGAGCATGCAAGTAAGCGAGTGGGTGAGCGAGTGGGTGAGCGAGCAAGCGAGTGGGTGAGCGAGTGGGTGAGCGAGTGGGTGAGCAAGTAACCGAGTGGGTGAGCGAGTGAGTGAGCAAGTAAGCGAGTGGGTGAGCGAGTGGGTGAGCGAGTGGGTGAGCGGGTGAGTCGTTGAGCGAGTGGGTGAGTTGAGTGGGTGGGTGAGTGTGTGCGAGCAGGTGGGTGAGTGAGTGAGCGAGTGGGTGAGCAAGCAAGCGAGCGGGTGAGCGAGTGAGCGAGTCGTTGAGCGAGCGGGTGAGTGATCAAGCGAGCAAGGCGGTGAGCGAGCAAGTGAGCGGACGGGTGAGCGGACGAGTGGGTGAGCGAGTGGGCAAGCAAGGGTGCGAGCGAGCGCGTGGGCGAGCAAGCGGTTGGGTGAGCGAGCGGGCGAAAGCGCGAGCGGGCGACTGAGCGAGCGACCGGGCGAGCGAGCGAGTGGACGGGTGAGCGAGCGGGCGAGCGGGTGAGCGGGCGAGCGAGCGAGTGGACGGGTGAGCGAGCGGGTGAGCGGGCGGGCGAGCGGGCGGGCAGGCCGTGCCTCGGGTTGCAGGGGATGGCCGAAGGAGCGCCGGAGGCAGCAGAGGCGCGCGCCCAGCACCGCAGGGGACTCTGGGAAGTGGTAGTGGACGATGCAGGTGGCGTCGTCCACGTCCAGCAGGCGAGCGCACGCGTCCGTGGTCACTGCTCAGCCAGGACACCAGGCGAGGTAGTCAACATCTCATAGCCACCGTGATGATGAGAGAGACACAGACTCCACATAGACCTCCTGTAGACCAGGCGAGGTAGTCAACATCTCATAGCCACCGTGATGATGAGAGAGAGACACAGACTCCACATAGACCTCCTGTGTACCAGGCGAGGTAGTTAACATCTCATAGCCACCGTGGTGATGATGATGATGAGAGAAAGACACAGACTCCACATAGACCTCCTGTAGACCAGGCGAGGTAGTTAACATCTCATAGCCACCGTGATGATGAGAGACACAGACTCCACGTAGACCTCCTGTGTACCAGGCGAGGTAGTTAACATCTCATAGCCACCGTGATGATGAGAGAGACAGACTCCACCTAGACCTCCTGTATACCAGGCGAGGGAGTCAACATCTCCTAGCCACCGTGATGATGATGATGATGATAGAGAGACGGAGACTCCACATAGACCTCCTGTAGACCAAGCGAGGTAGTCAACATCTCCTAGCCACCGTGATGATGAGAGAGACACAGACTCCACATAGACCTCCTGTACACCAGGCGAGGTAGTTAACATCTCATAGCCACCGTGATGATGATGAGAGACACAGACTCCACATAGACCTCCTGTATACCAGGCGAGGTAGTCAACATCTCATAGCCACCGTGGTGATGATGAGAGAGACACAGACTCCACATAGACCTCCTGTAGACCAAGCGAGGTAGTCAACATCTCCTAGCCACCGTGATGATGAGAGAGACACAGACTCCACATAGACCTCCTGTATACCAGGCGAGGTAGTTAACATCTCATAGCCACCGTGATGATGATGAGAGACACAGACTCCACATAGACCTCCTGTAGACCAGGCGAGGTAGTCAACATCTCATAGCCACCGTGATGATGATGAGAGAGAGACACAGACTCCACATATACCTCCTGTGTACCAGGCGAGGTAGTCAACATCTCATAGCCACCGTGATGATGAGAGAGAGACAGACTCCACATAGACCTCCTGTGTACCAGGCGAGGTAGTCAACATCTCATAGCCACCGTGATGATGAGAGAGACACAGACTCCACATAGACCTCCTGTAGACCAGGCAAGGTAGTCAACATCTCATAGCCACCGTGATGATGAGAGACACACAGACTCCACATAGACCTCCTGTAGACCAGGCGAGGTAGTCAGCATCTCATAGCCACCGTGATGATGATGATGAGAGAGAGACACAGACTCCACATAGACCTCCTGTGTACCAGGCGAGGTAGTCAACATCTCATAGCCACCGTGATGATGAGAGAGAGACACAGACTCCACATAGACCTCCTGTGTACCAGGCGAGGTAGTTAACATCTCATAGCCACCGTGATGATGAGAGAGAGACAGACTCCACATAGACCTCCTGTAGACCAGGCGAGGTAGTCAACATCTCATAGCCACCGTGATGATGATGAGAGACACAGACTCCACATAGACCTCCTGTATACCAGGCGAGGTAGTCAACATCTCATAGCCACCGTGATGATGATGAGAGAGAGACACAGACTCCACATAGACCTCCTGTGTACCAGGCGAGGTAGTCAACATCTCATAGCCACCGTGATGATGAGAGAGACACAGACTCCACATAGACCTCCTGTATACCAGGCGAGGTAGTTAACATCTCATAGCCACCGTGATGATGATGAGAGACACAGACTCCACATAGACCTCCTGTAGACCAGGCGAGGTAGTCAACATCTCATAGCCACCGTGATGATGAGAGAGACACAGACTCCACATAGACCTCCTGTAGACCGGGCGAGGTAGTCAACATCTCATAGCCACCGTGATGATGAGAGAGACACAGACTCCACATAGACCTCCTGTAGACCAGGCGAGGTAGTTAACATCTCATAGCCACCGTGATGATGATGATGAGAGACGCAGACTCCACATAGACCTCCTGTAGACCAGGCGAGGTAGTCAACATCTCATAGCCACCGTGATGATGATGAGAGACACAGACTCCACATAGATCTCCTGTAGACCAGGCGAGGTAGTTAACATCTCATAGCCACCGTGATGATGATGAGAGAGACACAGACTCCACATAGACCTCCTGTAGACCAGGCGAGGTAGTCAACATCTCATAGCCACCGTGGTGATGATGAGAGAGACACAGACTCCACATAGACCTCCTGTGTACCAGGCGAGGTAGTCAACATCTCATAGCCACCGTGATGATGAGAGAGAGACACAGACTCCACATAGACCTCCTGTAGACCAGGCGAGGTAGTCAACATCTCCTAGCCACCGTGATGATGATGATGATGAGAGAGACACAGACTCCACATAGACCTCCTGTAGACCAGGCGAGGTAGTCAATATCTCCTAGCCACCGTGATGATGATGAGAGAGACACAGACTCCACAACGACCTCCTGTAGACCAGGCGAGGTAGTCAACATCTCCTAGCCACCGTGATGATGATGATGATGAGAGAGACACAGACTCCACATAGACCTCCTGTAGACCAGGCGAGGTAGTCAACATCTCCTTGCCACCGTGGTGATGATAGAGAGACGGAGACTCCACATAGACCTCCTGTAGACCAGGCGAGGTAGTCAACATCTCATAGCCACCGTGATGATGAGAGACACAGACTCCACATAGACCTCCTGTGTACCAGGCGAGGTAGTCAACATCTCATAGCCACCGTGATGATGATGATGAGACACCCCGCAAACTCCAAATGTACAGCGGGCGTCGGGATCGGGAGCAAAACCCACGACCTCCTGCGTACCAGGCGAGGTAGTCAACATCTCATAGCCACCGTAATGATGATGATGAGAGAGACACAGACTCCACATAGACCTCCTGTAGACCAGGCGAGGTAGTCAACATCTCATAGCCACCGTGATGATGATGATGAGAGAGACACAGACTCCACATAGACCTCCTGTAGACCAGGCGAGGTAGTCAACATCTCCTAGCCACCGTGATGATGATGAGAGAGACACAGACTCCACATAGACCTCCTGTAGACCAGGCGAGGTAGTCAACATCTCCTAGCCACCGTGATGATGATGAGAGAGACACAGACTCCACATAGACCTCCTGTAGACCAGGCGAGGTAGTCAACATCTCCTAGCCACCGTGATGATGATGAGAGAGACACAGACTCCACATAGAGCTCCTGTAGACCAGGCGAGTTAGTCAACATCTCCTTGCCACCGTGATGATGATGATGAGAGAGACACCGCAAACTCCAAATGTACAGCGGGCGTCAGGGTCGGAGCGAACCCGCGACCTCCTGTGTACCAGGCGAGGTAGTCAACATCTCCTAGCCACCGTGATGATGATGAGAGAGACGCAGACTCCACATAGACCTCCTGTGTACCAGGCGAGGTAGTCAACATCTCCTAGCCACCGTGATGATGATGATGAGAGAGACACAGACTCCACATAGACCTCCTGTGTACCAGGCGAGGTAGTCAACATCTCCTAGCCACTGTGATGATGATGAGAGAGACGCAGACTCCACATAGACCTCCTGTAGACCAGGCGAGGTAGTCAACATCTCATAGCCACCGTGATGATGATGAGAGAGAGACACAGACTCCACATAGACCTCCTGTGTACCAGGCGAGGTAGTCAACATCTCATAGCCACCGTCATGATGAGAGAGACACCGCAAACTCCAAATGTACAGCGGGCGTTAGGGTCGGGAGCGAACCCACGACCTCCTGTGTACCAGGCGAGGTAGTCAACATCTCCTAGCCACCGTCATGATGAGAGAGACACAGACTCCACATAGACCTCCTGTAGACCAGGCGAGGTAGTCAACATCTCTTAGCCACCGTGATGATGATGAGAGAGACGCAGACTGCACATAGACCTCCTGTGTACCAGGCGAGGTAGTCAACATCTCCTTGCCACCGTGATGATGATGAGAGAGACACAGACTCCACATAGACCTCCTGTAGACCAGGCGAGGTAGTCAACATCTCCTAGCCACCGTGATGATGATGATGAGAGAGACGCAGACTCCACATAGACAGCAGCAGGCGTGTCTCCGCCCGCCGTGTCTCCGCCCGCCGTGTCTCACCGAGGACACGCGGATGCTGGAGGTCTCCGTGCATGTCCCACTTGCGACGCACGGCATCCACCACCTCCGGATTGGGTACCGTGCAGCCCAGCGACAAACAGCCGCCCTGCATCAACATCTACAGAGACGCGGGGGAGACACGGGGACAGAGACACGGGGAGACACGGGGACAGAGACACGGGGAGACACGGGGACAGAGACACGGGGACAGAGACACGGGGAGACATGGGGACAGAGACACGGGGACAGAGACACGGGGACAGAGACACGGGGACAGAGACACAGGGAGACATGGAGACAGAGACAAGGGGACAGAGACACAGGGAAAAACACAGGGAGACTCAAGGAGACACGGTGACAAGAGACACGGGGAGACACGGGGACAGAGACACGGGGACAGAGACATGGGGAGACATGGGGACAGAGACACGGGGACAGAGACACGGGGACAGAGACACGGGGACAGAGACACGGGGAGACATGGGGACAGAGACACGGGGACAGAGACACGGGGAGACACGGGGACAGAGACAGAGGGAGACATGGGGACAGAGACAAGGGGACAGAGACACGTGGAGACATGGAGACAGAGACAAGGGGACAGAGACACGGGGAAAAACACAGGGAGACTCAAGGAGACACGGTGACAGAGACACGGGGAGACATGGGGACAGAGACACGGGGACAGAGACACGGGGAGACACGGGGACAGAGACACGGGGACAGAGACACGGGGACAGAGACACGGGGAGACATGGGGACAGAGACACGAGGACAGAGACACGGGGACAGAGACAAGGGGAGAAATGGGGACAGAGACAAGGGGACAGAGACACGGGGACAGAGACACGGGGAAAGACACAGGGAGACTCAAGGAGACACGGTGACAGAGACACGGGGAGACACGGGGACAGAGACACGGGGACAGAGACACGGGGAGACACGGGGACAGAGACAAGGGGACAGAGACACGGGGAGACATGGGGACAGAGACAAGGGGACAGAGACACGGGGAAAGACACAGAGAGACTCAAGGAGACACGGTGACAGAGACACGGGGAGACACGGGGACAGAGACACGGGGAGACACGGGGACAGAGACACGGGGACAGAGACACGGGGAGACACGGGGACAGAGACACGGGGACAGAGACACGGGGAGACATGGGGACAGAGACACGGGGACAGAGACATGGGGACAGAGACACGGGGAGACATGGGGACAGAGACACGGGGAGACATGGGGACAGAGACACGGGGACAGAGACACGGGGAGACACGGGGACAGAGACACAGGGAGACATGGGGACAGAGACAAGGGGACAGAGACATGGGGAGACATGGAGACAGAGACAAGGGGACAGAGACACGGGGAAAAACACAGGGAGACTCAAGGAGACACGGTGACAAGAGACACGGGGAGACACGGGGACAGAGACACGGGGACAGAGACATGGGGAGACATGGGGACAGAGACACGGAGACAGAGACACGGGGACAGAGACACGGGGAGACATGGGGACAGAGACACGGGGACAGAGACACGGGGAGACACGGGGACAGAGACAGAGGGAGACATGGGGACAGAGACAAGGGGACAGAGACACGTGGAGACATGGAGACAGAGACAAGGGGACAGAGACACGGGGAAAAACACAGGGAGACTCAAGGAGACACGGTGACAGAGACACGGGGAGACACGGGGACAGAGACACGGGGAGACACGGGGACAGAGACACGGGGAAAGACACAGGGAGACTCAAGGAGACACGGGGACAGAGACATGGAGACTCTGGGAGACACGGGGACAGAGACACGGGGAGATACGGGGACAGAGACACAGGGACAGAGACACGGGGAGACACGGGGACAGAGACACGGGGACAGAGACACGGGGAAAGACACAGGGAGACTCAAGGAGACACGGTGACAGAGACACGGGGAGACACGGGGACAGAGACACGGGGAGACACGGGGACAGAGTCAAGGGGACAGAGACACGGGAAAAGACACAGGGAGACTCAAGGAGACACGGTGACAGAGACACGGGGACAGAGACACGGGGACAGAGACACGGGGACAGAGACACGGGGAGACATGGGGACAGAGACACGGGGAGACATGGGGACAGTCAAGGGGACAGAGACACGGGGAAAGACACAGGGAGACTCAAGAAGACACGGTGACAGAGACACGGGGACAGAGACACAGGGACAGAGACACGGGGAGACACAGTGGAATCCCGTACGAGAACACGTGGACAAAGATCCCCCGTGTAGCCTTGACAAACTGTAGGGGCAAGTGCCGTTAGCGAGCACCTATTAAGGCCGGAACGCAACACGAGGGAGTGTGGGTGGCCAGTGCCACGCCCGGCCGCCTTTGTCTCTCCCCCAGTGGCGATGTTTACTGCACGCCGCACAAGGGACTCATTTTGAGGCCGAGTCGACCTAGGGGAGGCCCAGGACCCGGTTCAGATAATCGTCACTTGGTGGTGGTGTTGGCCGTGAGCGGGAATCGAACCCCGGGTCGCCGGCGGTCCCCACACACACGGGGGACAACACGGGGAGACAAGGGGAGACACGGATACACACGGGGAGACACGGGGACACGCAGGGGAGACACGGGTACACACGGGGGAGATGCGAAGACACGCATGGGAGACACGCGGGGAGACGCGGGGACACACAGGTGCACACGGGGGAGACACGGGGAGACAAGGGGAGACACGGGTACACACGGGGGAGACGCGGGGACACGCATGGGAGACACGCGAGGAGACGCGGGGACACACAGGTACACACGCGGGAGACACGGGGAGACACGGGCACACGCAGGGAGACACGCGGGTACACACGGGGGAGACACGGGGAGACACGGTGAGACAAGGGGAGACACGGGTACACACGGGGGAGACACGAAGACACGCATGGGAGACACGCGGGGAGACACGGGTACACACGGGGGAGACACGGGCACACGCAGGGAGACACGGGGAGACACGGAGAGACAAGGGGAGACACGGAGACACACGGGGGAGACACGGGGACACGCATGGGAGACACGCGGGGAGACACGGGTACACACGGGGGAGACACGGAGAGACAAGGGGAGACACGGGTACACACGGGGGAGACACAGGGAGACACGGAGAGACAAGGGGAGACAAGGGTACACACGGGGGAGACACGGGGGAGACACGGAGAGACAAGGGGAGACACGGGTACACACGGGGGAGACACGGAGAGACAAGGGGAGACACGGGTACACACGGGGGAGACACGGAGGAGACACGGAGAGACAAGGGGAGACACGGGTATACACGGGGGAGACACGAAGACACGCATAGGAGACACGCGGGGAGACACGGGTACACACGGGGGAGACACGGAGAGACAAGGGGAGACACGGGTACACACGCGAGGAGACGCGGGGACACACGGGGGAGACACGGGGACACGCATGGGAGACACGCGGGGAGACACGGGTACACACGGGGGAGACACGGAGAGACAAGGGGAGACACGGGTACACACGGGGGAGACACGGGGAGACACAGAGAGGCAAGGGGAGACACGGGTACACACAGGGGAGACGCGGGGACACGCAGGGAGACACGCGGGGAGACGCGGTGACACACCGCGTGAAGTTGCTCTACGTGCGTCTCCGACTTGACGAAGACCACAATCTTGCGACGTTGTTCCGAGTCCGGACCCAACAGGGTGAGCAGTGTGAAGATAACCTGACCAGCTCTGCACACGTGGACAATCTGGAGGAGACGCACGGAGGAGACACAGGGAGGAGACACAGGGAGGAGACACACAGACACAAGGAGAACGGAGACACACGGAGACACAGAGAGACACACGGAGACACAGGGAGGAGACACAAAGACACAGGGGGAAGACACACAGAGACACAAGGAGAACGGAGACACACGGAGACACAGAGAGACACACGGAGACACAGGGAGGAGACACAGGGAGGAGACACAAAGACACAGGGAGAAGACACACAGAGACACAAGGAGAACGGAGACACACGGAGACACAGAGAGACACACGGAGACACAGGGAGGAGACGCAGGAGGTCATGAGTTCTCTCCCGGACCCTGACGCCTGCTGTATACTTGGAGTTTGCGTGTCTCTCTCTCCCCCAGTGGAGATGTTGACTACCTCGCCTGGTACGCATGAGATGTTGACTACCTTGCCTGGTGCGCAGGAGGTCGTGGGTTCTCTCGCGGACCCTGACGCCTGCTGTACATTTGGAGTTTGCGTCTCTCTCTCTCTCCCCCCGTGGAGATGTTGACTACCTTGCCTGGTACGCAGGAGGTCGTAGGTTCGATCCCAGACCCTGACACCACGGTGGCTAGGAGATGTTGACTACCTTGCCTGGTACGCAGGAGGTCGTGGGTTCGATCCCAGACCCTGACACCACAGTGGCTAGGAGATGTTGACTACCTCGCCTGGCACGCAGGAGATGTTGACTACCTCGCCCGGTACGCAGGAGGTCGTGAGTTCTCTCGCCGACCCTGACGCCTGCTGTATATGTGGAGTTTGCGTGTGTCTCTCTCTCTCTCCCAGTGGAGATGTTGACTACCTCGCCTGGTACGCAGGAGGTCGTGGGTTCGATCCCAGACCCTGACACCACAGTGGCTAGGAGATGTTGACTACCTCGCCTGGTACGCAGGAGATGTTGACTACCTCGCCCGGTACGCAGGAGGTCGTGGGTTCTCTCACGGACCCTGACGCCTGCTGTACATTTGGAGTTTGCGTGTCTCTCTCTCTCTCCCCGTGGGGATGTTGACTACCTCGCCTGGTACGCATGAGATGTTGACTACCTTGCCCGGTACGCAGGAGGTCGTGGGTTCGATCCCAGACCCTGACACCACAGTGGCTAGATGTTGACTACCTCGCCTGGTACGCAGGAGATGTTGACTACCTCGCCTGGTACGCAGGAGGTCGTGAGTTCTCTCGCCGACCCAGACGCCTGCTGTATATGTGGAATTTGCGTCTCTCTCTCTCTCTCCCAGTGGAGATGTTGACTACCTCGCCTGGTACGCAGGAGATGTTGACTACCTCGCCTGGTACGCAGGAGATGTTGACTACCTCGCCTGGTACGCAGGAGGTCGTGAGTTCTCTCGCCGACCCTGACGCCTGCTGGATATTTGGAGTTTGCGTCTCTCTCTCTCTCCCCCAGTGGAGATGTTGACTACCTCGCCCGGTACGCAGGAGGGCGTGGGTTCGATCCCAGACTCTGACACCACAGTGGCTATGAGATGTTGACTACCTCGCCCGGTACGCAGGAGGTCGTGGGTTCGATCCCAGACTCTGACACCACAGTGGCTAGGAGATGTTGACTACCTCGCCTGGCACGCAGGAGGTCGTGAGTTCTCTCGCCGACCCTGACACCTGCTGTATACTTGGAGTTTGCGTGTCTCTCTCTCTCTCCCCCAGTGGAGATGTTGACTACCTCGCCTGGTACGCAGGAGATGTTGACTACCTCGCATGGTACGCAGGAGGTCGTGGGTTCGATCCCAGACTCTGACACCACAGTGGCTAGGAGATGTTGACTACCTCGACCGATACGCAGGAGGTCGTGAGTTCTCTCGCGGACCCTGACACCTGCTGTATATTTGGAGTTTGCGTGTCTCTCTCTCTCTCTCCCCCAGTGGAGATGTTGACTACCTCGCCCGGTACGCAGGAGGTCGTGTGGGGGTGTGGGGGTGGAGGTGGGGGGTGTGGAGGTGGGGGTGTGGGGTGTGGAGGTGGGGGGTGGTGGAGGTGGGTGAGGTGGAGGTGGGGGCGGTGGGCGGTGGTGGGGGGGTGGAGGTGGGGGGTGGAGGTGGGGGGGGGGGGTGTAGGTGGGTGAGGTGGGGGTGGCGGCGGTGGGCGGTGGGAGGTGGTGGCGGGTGGAGGTGGTGGTGGGGGTGGAGGTGTAGGTGGGGGGGTGGAGGTGGGGGGTGGAGGTGGTGGTGGGGGGTGGAGGTGGGGGGTGGAGGTGGTGGTGGTGGTGGGGGTGGAGGTGGGGGGCGGTGGAGGTGGGGGGTGGAGGTGGGGGGTGTAGGTGGGAGAGGTGGAGGTGGGGGTGGCGGCGGTGGGAGGCGGTGGGGGGTGGAGGTGGTGGTGGAGGTGGGGGTGGAGGTGGGAGGTGGAGGTGGGGGGTGGAGGTGGTGGTGGAGGTGGGGGTGGTGGGGGGTGGAGGTGTAGGTGGGGGGTGGAGGTGTATGTGGAGGGGTGGAGGTGTAGGTGGAGGGGTGGAGGTGTAGGTGGTGGTGGTGGGGGGGATGGAGGTGTAGGTGGAGGGGTGGAGGTGGGGGGTGGAGGTGGTGGTGGGGGTGGAGGTGGGGGGTGTAGGTGGGAGAGGTGGAGGTGGGGGTGGTGGGGGGTGGAGGTGGGGGGTGGAGGTGGGGGGTGGAGGTGGTGGTGGGGGTGGTGGAGGTGGTGGTAGAGGTGGAGGTGGGGGGTGGAGGTGTAGGTGGGGGGTGGAGGTGTAGGTGGAGGGGTGGAGGTGGAGGTGGGGGGTGTAGGTGGGAGAGGTGGAGGTGGGGGTGGTGGGGGGTGGAGGTGGGGGGTGGAGGTGGGGGGTGGAGGTGGTGGTGGGGGTGGAGGTGGTGGTGGAGGTGGAGGTGGTGGTGGGGGTGGAGGTGTAGGTGGCGGGTGGAGGTGGTGGTGGTGGTGGGTGTGGTGGGGGGTGGAGGTGTAGGTGGGGGGTGGAGGTGGTGGTAGAGGTGTAGGTGGTGGGGGGTGGAGGTGTAGGTGGAGGGGTGGAGGTGGGGGCTCACGTGGCGCACCCCCCCGTAGACAGCCGCCTCGATGCCCCCTCGCAGCAGGACGCAGCGGTCGGTGCTGAGGGCGTGAGCCAGCGGCAGCAGCGCCGGCGTCCAACGGGCGCACAGCACCAGCAGGGACTGTGGCGGGGGCGAGGGGGAGGAGGGGGAGGAGGGGGGGGAGGGGGGGAGGAGGAGGGGGAGGAGGGGGAGGGGGAGCCCCCCACACGCGCCAACACCGCCTCGCGGAAGGCACGAACCACCTCGCCCGTCTACGTAGGAGGGGGAACGAGGAGGGGAGACACGGGGTGGGATCAGGTGAGATCAGGTGAGACACAGGGAGACAGGGTGAGGATCAGGTGAGATCAGGTGAGATGAGACACGGGGAGATGAGGGGGAGACAGGGTGAGACGCGGGGAGATGCAGGGAGACAAGGTGGAGATCAGGTGAGATCAGGTGAGACACGGGGAGACGCGGGGAGACAGGGTGAGATCAGGTGAGACACGGGGAGATGAGGGGAGACAGGGTGAGATCAGGTGAGACACGGGGAGACGCGGGGAGACAGGGTGAGATCAGGTGAGACACGGGGAGACAAGGTGGAGATCAGGTGAGATCAGGTGAGACACGGGGAGACGCGGGGAGACAGGGTGAGATCAGGTGAGACACGGGGAGACGCGGGGAGACAGGGTGAGATCAGGTGAGATCAGGTGAGATGAGACACGGGGAGACACCGGGGAGACAAGGGGGAGATCAGGTGAGACGCGGGGAGACAGGGTGAGATCAGGTGGGACACGGGGAGACACGGGGAGACAGGGTGAGATCAGGTGGGACGCGGGGAGACAGGGTGAGATCAGGTGGGATCAGGTGAGATCAGACACGGGGAGACGAGGGTGAGATCAGGTGAGATCAGGTGGGACGCGGGGAGACAAGGGTGAGATCAGGTGAGATCAGGTGAGATGAGACACGGGGAGACAGGGTGAGATCAGGTGAGATCAGGTGAGATGAGACACGGGGAGACAGGGTGAGATCAGGTGAGACGCGGGGAGATAGGGTGAGATCAGGTGAGACGCGGGGAGACGCGGGGAGACAGGGAGATCAGGTGAGACAGGCTGAGATCAGGTGAGACACGGGGAGACAGGGTGAGATCAGGTGAGACACGGGGAGATAGGGTGAGATCAGGTGAGACACGGGGAGATAGGGTGAGATCAGGTGAGACACGGGGAGACGCGGGGAGACAGGGAGATCAGGTGAGATGAGACACGGGGAGATGCGGGGAGACAGGGAGATCAGGTGAGACAGGGTGAGATCAGGTGAGACACGGGGAGACAGGGTGAGATCAGGTGAGATGAGACACGGGGAGATGCGGGGAGACAGGGAGATCAGGTGAGACAGGGTGAGATCAGGTGAGACACGGGGAGACGCGGGGAGATGGTGAGATCAAGTGAGATGAGACACGGGGAGATGCGGGGAGACAGGGAGATCAGGTGAGACACGGGGAAATGCGGGGGAGACAGGGTGAGATGAGGTGAGACACGGGGAGATGAGGGGAGACAGGGAGATCAGGTGAGACACGGGGAGATGCGGGGAGACAGGGTGAGATCAGGTGAGACATGGGGAGACAGGGACATCAGGTGTTGGGTGTGTAGGCATGATGATGATGATGCTTGTGGGTGGATGGATGATTGAATGAGTGGGTGGATGGATGATGGAATGAATGAGTGGGTGGATGATTGAATGAGTGGATGGGTGGGTGATTGAATGAGTGGCTGACTGCATGGATGGGTAAGTGGGATGCATAGATGATTGAATGAGTGGATGGGCGAATGAATAATGAGTGGGTGACTGGGTGGATGTGTCAGTGGTTGGATGAATGACTGAATGAGTGGATGGGTAAGTGGGTGGATGAATGAGCGGGGTCGTGGGTGAATGGGTAAGTTGGTGGAAGAATGAGTGGGTGGATGGATGCTTGAATGAGTGGGTGAGTGGGTGGATGCTTCAACGAGTGGCTGACTGCATGGATGGGTAAGTGGGTGCATAGATGATTGAATGAGTGGATGGGCGAATGAATAATGAGTGGGTGACTGGGTGGATGTGTCAGTGGTTGGATGAATGACTGAATGAGTGGATGGGTAAGTGGGTGGATGAATGAGTGGGGTCGTGGGTGAATGGGTAAGTTGGTGGATGAATGAGTGGGTGGATGGATGGATGCTTGAATGAGTGGGTGGATGCTTCAATGAGTGGCTGACTGCGTGGATGGGTAAGTGGGTGCATAGATGATTGAATGAGTGGATGGGCGAATGAATAATGAGTGGGTGACTGGGTGGATGTGTCAGTGGTTGGATGAATGACTGAATGAGTGGATGGGTAAGTGGGTGGATGAATGAGTGGGGTCGTGGGTGAATGGGTAAGTTGGTGGATCAATGAGTGGAGTCGTGGGTGAATGGGTAAGTTGGTGAATGAATGAGTGGGTGGATGGATGCTTGAATGAGTGGGTGGATGATTCAATGAGTGGCTGACTGCAAGGATGGGTAAGTGGGTGCATAGATGATTGAATGAGTGGATGGGCGAATGAATATTGAGTGGGTGGATGTGTCAGTGGTTGGATGAATGACTGAATGAGTGGATGGGTAAGTGGGTGGATGAATGAGTGGGGTCGTGGGTGAATGGGTAAGTTGGTGGAAGAATGAGTGGGTGGATGGATGCTTGAATGAGTGGGTGAGTGGGTGGATGCTTCAACGAGTGGCTGACTGCAAGGATGGGTAAGTGGGTGCATAGATGATTGAATGAGTGGATGGGCGAATAAATATTGAGTGGGTGACTGGGTGGATGTGTCAGTGGTTGGATGAATGACTGAATGAGTGGATGGGTAAGTGGGTGGATGAATGAGTGGGGTCGTGGGTGAATGGGTAAGTTGGTGGATGAATGAGTGGGTGGATGGATGCTTCAATGGGTGGGTGGATGCTTCAATGAGTGGCTGACTGCAAGGATGGGTAAGTGGGTGCATAGATGATTGAACGAGTGGATGGGCGAATGAATAATGAGTGGGTGACTGGGTGGATGTGTCAGTGGTTGGATGAATGACTGAATGAGTGGATGGGTAAGTGGGTGGATGAATGAGTGGGGTCGTGGGTGAATGGGTAAGTTGGTGGATGAATGAGTGGGTGGATGGATGCTTGAATGAGTGGGTGGATGCTTCAATGAGTGGCTGACTGCAAGGATGGGTAAGTGGGTGCATAGATGATTGAATGAGTGGATGGGCGAATGAATAATGAGTGGGTGACTGGGTGGATGTGTCAGTGGTTGGATGAATGACTGAATGAGTGGATGGGTAAGTGGGTGGATGAATGAGCGGGGTCGTGGGTGAATGGGTAAGTTGGTGGATCAATGAGTGAGTGGATGGATGCTTGAATGAGTGGGTGGATGATTCAATGAGTGGCTGACTGCAAGGATGGGTAAGTGGGTGCATAGATGATTGAATGAGTGGATGGGCGAATGAATATTGAGTGGGTGACTGGGTGGATGTGTCAGTGGTTGGATGAATGACTGAATGAGTGGATGGGTAAGTGGGTGGATGAATGAGTGGGGTCGTGGGTGAATGGGTAAGTTGGTGGATGAATGAGTGGGTGGATGGATGCTTGAATGAGTGGGTGGATGATTCAATGAGTGGCTGACTGCGCGGATGGGTAAGTGGGTGCAAAGATGATTGAATGAGTGGATGGGCGAATGAATAATGAGTGGGTGACTGGGTGGATGTGTCAGTGGTTGGATGAATGACTGAATGAGTGGATGGGTAAGTGGGTGGATGAATGAGTGGGGTCGTGGGTGAATGGGTAAGTTGGTGGATGAATGAGTGGGTGGATGGATGGATGCTTGAATGAGTGGGTGGATGCTTCAATGAGTGGCTGACTGCAAGGATGGGTAAGTGGGTGCATAGATGATTGAATGAGTGGATGGGCGAATGAATAATGAGTGGGTGACTGGGTGGATGTGTCAGTGGTTGGATGAATGACTGAATGAGTGGATGGGTAAGTGGGTGGATGAATGAGCGGGGTCGTGGGTGAATGGGTAAGTTGGTGAATTAATGAATGGGTGGATGGATGCTTGAATGAGTGGCTGAGTGGGTGGATGCTTCAACGAGTGGCTGACTGCGTGGATGGGTAAGTGGGTGCATAGATGATTGAATGAGTGGATGGGCGAATGAATAATGAGTGGGTGACTGGGTGGATGTGTCAGTGGTTGGATGAATGATTGAATGAGTGGATGGGTAAGTGGGTGCATGAACGGCTGGTGAGGGAGGTGGGTGAGGAGTGTTTGGTGGGTGAGCGAGTGGCGAGTTGACACCTGCGCGGAGAGGTTGAGGACCAGGCTGTCCGCGCCATGCAGCACCACGTGGCACAGTCGGTTCATTGGCAACAACCGCCGTGACATCGCAGAGAGCAACGCGTCTGGGGTGGCCACCACCACCTCCACTAACAACCACGACAACAACAACCACCACCACCACCACCACAACCGTCATCATGTCTATACACCCAACAACCGGGGTTGCCACCACCACTACAACCGCCAAAGATCCCCCGTGTAGCCTCGAACAGACCGTTGGGGCAAGTGCTGTTAGCGATCAGCACCTACAAAGACAAAGATCCCCCGTGTAGCCTCGAACAGACCGTTGGGGCAAGTGCTGTTAGCGAGCAGCACCTACAAAGACAAAGATCCCCCGTGTAGCCTCAACAGACTGTAGGGGCAAGTGCTGTTAGCGAGCAGCACCTACAAAGACAAAGATCCCCCGTGTAGCCTCGAACAGACCGTAGGGGCAAGTGCTGTTAGCGAGCAGCACCTACAAAGACAAAGATCCCCCGTGTAGCCTCGAACAGACCGTAGGGGCAAGTGCTGTTAGCGAGCAGCACCTACAAAGACAAAGATCCCCCGTGTAGCCTCGAACAGACCGTAGGGGCAAGTGCTGTTAGCGAGCACCTATGAAGGCCGGTAACGGCACACGAGGGGGTGGGTGGCCAGCACCACGCCCGGCCGCCTTTGTCTCTCCCCCAGTGGCGATGTTTACTACAACACCGCACCAGGTACTCATTTGAGGCTGAGTCGACCTAGGGGAGGCCCGGGACCGGTTCAGATAATCGTCACTGGGGGTGGTGTTGGCCGTGAGCGGGAATCGAACCCGGGTCGCCAGGTTCGTGGCGCAGTGCGCTAACCGCTGCCGCTCCCCGCAACCGCCACCACCGTCAATACAACAACAACCACCACCACCGCCTCCACTACAACCACCACAACAACTACCACAAGCATCATCATCATCATGCCTACACACCCAACAACCGGGGTGGCCACCACCAGAACCACCACCACACCACCACAACAACCACCACACCACCACAACAACTACCAGAAGCATCATCATCATCATGCCTACACACCCAATAACCGGGTTGGCCACCACCAGAACCACCACCACACCACCACAACAACCACCACACCACCACAACAACTACCACAAGCATCATCATCATCATGCCTACACACCCAATAACCGGGTTAGCCACCAACACAACCAACACCACAACCACCACCACCACAACAACTACCACAAGCATCATCATCACCACAACCACCACAACAACCACCACGGCCACAACACTCACACAACAATATACAGCTTCCCTGTGTAGTGATCTGGGATCCTCCTGTAGGGGTGTGGACCCCGTGTAGGGGTCTGTAGGGGTATGTAGGGGTCTGTAGGGGTATGTAGGAGTGTGTAGGAGTCTGTAGGGGTGTGGATCCTGTGTAGGGGTCTGGCGGAGTCAAAGGGGTCTGTAGGGGCGTGTAGGGGTCTGTAGGGGTGTGTAGGGGTCTGTAGGGGTGTGGATCCTGTGTAGGGGTCTGTAGGGGTGTGTAGGAGTCTGTAGGGGCGTGTAGGGGTCTGTCGGGGTGTGGATCCTGTGTAGGGGTCTGTAGGGGTCTGTAGGGGTATGTAGGAGTGTGTAGGAGTCTGTAGGGGCGTGTAGGAGTCTGTAGGGGTGTGGATCCTGTGTAGGGGTGTGTAGGGGTCTGTAGGGGTGTGTAGGGGTCTGTAGGGGTCTGTAGGGGTGTGTAGGGGTCTGTAGGGGTCTGTAGGGGTGTATAGGAGTCTGTAGGGGCGTGTAGGGGTCTGTAGGGGTCTGTAGGGGTGTGTAGGGGTCTGTAGGGGTGTGTAGGGGTCTGTAGGGGTCTGTAGGGGTCTGTAGGGGTGTGGATCCTGTGTAGGGGTGTGTAGGGGTCTGTAGGGGCGTGTAGGGGCCTGTAGGGGTCTGTAGGGGTCTGTAGGGGTGTGTAGGGGTCTGTAGGGGTGTGTAGGAGTCTGTAGGGGTCTGTAGGGGTCTGCAGGGGTCTGTAGGGGTGTGTAGGGGTGTGTAGGGATCTGTAGGGGTCTGCAGGGGTGTGTAGGGGTCCCTAGGGGTCTGGAGGAGTCTGTAGGGGTCTGTAGGGGTCTTTAGGGGTCTCTAAGGGTGTGTAGGGGTCTGTAGGGGTCTGTAGGGGTGTGGATCCTCTGTAGGGGTCTGCAGGGGTGTGTAGGGGTGTGTAGGGGTCTGTAGGGGTGTGTAGGGGTCTGTAGGGGTCTGTAGGGGTGTGTAGGGGTCTGTAGGGGTGTGTAGGGGTCTGTAGGGGTCTGTAGGGGTCTGTAGGGGTCTCTAGGGGTCTCTAGGGGTGTGTAGGGGTCTGTAGGGGTCTGTAGAGGTGTGTAGGGGTCTGTAGGGGTCTGTAGGGGTCTGTAGGGGTCTGTAGGGGTCTGTAGGAGTCTGTAGGGGTCTGTAGGGGTCTGTAGGCGTGTGTAGGGGTGTGTATCCTGTGTAGGGGTCTGTAGGGGGTCTGTAGGGGTCTGTAGGGGTCTGTAGGGGTGTGTAGGGGTCTGCAGGGGTCTGTAGGGGTCTGCAAGAGTCTGTAGGAGTCTGTAAGAGTCTGCAGGGGTCTGCAGGGGTCTGCAGGGGTCTGTAGGGGTCTGTAGGGGTGTGTAGGAGTCTGTAGGGGTCTGTAGGGGTCTGTAGGGGTGTGTAGGGGTCTGTAGGGGTGTGTAGGGGTCTGTAGGGGTGTGTAGGGGTGTGTAGGGGTCTGTAGGGGTGTGGATCCTGTGTAGGGGTGTGTAGGGGTGTGTAGGGGCGTGTAGGGGCCTGTAGGGGTCTGTAGGGGTCTGTAGGGGTGTGTAGGGGTCTGTAGGGGTGTAGGAGTCTGTAGGGGTCTGTAGGGGTCTGTAGGGGTGTGTAGGGGTCCCTAGGGGTCTGTAGGGGTCTCTAGGGGCCTGTAGGGGTCTGTAGGGGTCTCTAGGGGTCTGTAGGGGTCTGTAGGAGTCTGTAGGAGTCTGTAGGGGTGTGTAGGAGTCTGTAGGGGTCTGTAGGGGTCTGTAGGGGCGTGTAGGGGTCTGTAGGGGTCTGCAGGAGTCTGTAGGAGTCTGTAAGAGTCTGTAGGGGTGTGTAGGGGTCTGTAGGGGTCTGTAGGGGTCTGTAGGGGTCTGTAGGGGTCTTTAGGGGTCTGTAGGGGTCTGTAGGGGTCTCTAGGGGTCTCTAGGGGTCTGTAGGGGTCTGTAGGGGTCTGTAGGAATTGTAGGGGTCTCTAGGGGTCTGTAGGGGTCTGTAGGGGTGTGTAGGAGTCTGTAGGGGTCTGTAGGGGTCTGTAGGGGCGTGTAGGGGTCTGTAGGGGTCTGCAGGAGTCTGTAGGAGTCTGTAAGAGTCTGTAGGGGTCTGTAGGGGTCTGTAGGGGTCTCTAGGGGTCTGTAGGGGTCTCTAGGGGTCTGTAGGGGTCTGTAGGGGTCTCTAGGGGTCTCTAGGGGTCTCTAGGGGTCTCTAGGGGTCTCTGTAGGAATTGTAGGGGTCTCTAGGGGTCTGTAGGCATCTGTAGGGGTCTGTAGGGGTGTGTAGGGGTGTGTAGGGGTCTGTAGGGGTCTGTAGGGGTGTGTAGGGGTGTGTAGGGGTCTGCAGGGGTCCATAGGGGTCTCTAGGGGTCTGTAGGGGTCTGTAAGGGTCTGCAGGGGTCTCTAGGCGTCTGTAGGGGTCTGTAGGAGTCCGTAGGGGTGTGTAGGGGTGTGTAGGGGTCTGTAGGGGTCTGTAGGGGTGTGTAGGGGTGTGTAGGGGTCTGTAGGGGTCTCTAGGGGTCTGCAGGGGTCTCTAGGGGTCTGTAGGGGTGTGGATCCTCTGTAGGGGTGTGTAGGGGTCTGTAGGGGTCTGTAGTGGTCTGTAGGGGTCTGTAGTGGTCTGTAGGAGTCTGTAGGGGTCTGTAGGGGCCTGTAGCGGTCTGTAGGGGTCTGCAGGGGTCCGTAGGGGTCCGTAGGGGTCTGCAGGGGTCTCTAGGGGTCTGTAGGGGTCTGTAGGGGCCTGTAGCGGTCTGTAGGGGTCTGCAGGGGTCCGTAGGGGTCCGTAGGGGTCTGCAGGGGTCTCTAGGGGTCTTTAGGGGTCTGTAGGGGTCTGTAGGGGTCTGTAGGGGTCTATAGGGGTCTGTAGGGGTCTGTAGGGGTCTGTAGGGGCCTGTAGGGGTGTGTAGGAGTCTGTAGGGGTCTGTAGGGGTCTGTAAGGGTCTGTGGGAGTCTGTAAGGGTCTGTAGGAGTCTGTAGGGGTCCGTAGGGGTCCGTAGGGGTCTGTAGGGGTGTGTAGGGGTCTCTAGGGGTCTGTAAGAGTCTGTATGTGTCTGTAGGGGTCTGTAGGGGTGTGTAGGGGTCTGTAGGGGTCTGTAGTGGTCTGTAGGGGTCTGTAGTGGTCTGTAGGAGTCTGTAGGGGTCTGTAGGGGCCTGTAGCGGTCTGTAGGGGTCTGTAAGGGTCTGTAGGAGTCTGTAGGGGTCCGTAGGGGTCCGTAGGGGTCTGTAGGGGTGTGTAGGGGTCTCTAGGGGTCTGTAAGAGTCTGTAAGAGTCTGTAGGGGTCTGTAGGGGTGTGTAGGGGTCTGTAGGGGTCTGTAGTGGTCTGTAGGGGTCTGTAGTGGTCTGTAGGAGTCTGTAGGGGTCTGTAGGGGCCTGTAGCGGTCTGTAGGGGTCTGCAGGGGTCCGTAGGGGTCCGTAGGGGTCTGCAGGGGTCTCTAGGGGTCTGTAGGGGTCTGTAGGGGCCTGTAGCGGTCTGTAGGGGTCTGCAGGGGTCCGTAGGGGTCCGTAGGGGTCTGTAGGAGTCTGTAAGGGTCTGTAGGAGTCTGTAGGGATCCGTAGGGGTCTCTAGGGGTCTCTAGGGGTCTGTAGGGGTCTGTAGGGGCCTGTAGGGGTGTGTAGGAGTCTGTAGGGGTCTGTAGGGGTCTGTAGGAGTCTGTAAGGGTCTGTAGGAGTCTGTAGGGGTCCGTAGGGGTCCGTAGGGGTCTGTAGGGGTGTGTAGGGGTCTATAGGGGTCTGTAAGAGTCTGCAGGGGTCTCTAGGGGTCTTTAGGGGTGTGTAGGAGTCTGTAGGGGTCTGTAGGGGTCTCTAGGGGTCTGTAGGGGTCTGTAGGGGCCTGTAGGGGTGTGTAGGAGTCTGTAGGGGTCTGTAGGGGTCTGTAGGAGTCTGTAAGGGTCTGTAGGAGTCTGTAGGGGTCCGTAGGGGTCCGTAGGGGTCTGTAGGGGTGTGTAGGGGTCTCTAGGGGTCTGTAAGAGTCTGTAGGGGTCTGTAGGGGTGTGTAGGGGTCTGCAGGGGTCTGTAGGGGCCTGTAGGGGTCTGTAGGGGTCCGTAGGGGTCTGTAGGGGTCTGCAGGGGTCTGCAGGGGTCTGCAGGGGTCTGTAGGGGTCTGTATGGGCGTGTAGGGGTCTGTAGGGGTCTGTAGGAGTCCGCAGGGGTCTGCAGGGGTCTCTAGGGGTCTCTAGGACTCCGCAGGGGACCCACCTCCGGCCAGGAGTGCGGCATCGGGGCAGGAGTTGGCGGAGCAGAGCAGAGCGGAGCGCAGGCCGCTGAGCTCGGCGAGGAGGGAGGACAGCTGGTGGTGGACGCCGAGACAGCAACGCCACCCGGCACACAGCACGAGCAGCAGCGGCTATGGAGATACACGCAGAGATACACACGCAGAGATAAAGAGATACACACGCAGAGATACACACACGGAGATACACGCAGAGATACACACGCAGAGATAAAGAGATACACACGCAGAGATACACACACGGAGATACACGCAGAGATACACACGGAGAGATACACACGGAGAGATACACACGGAGAGATACACAGAGATACACACGCAGAGATACACACGGAGAGATACACACGCAGATACACAGAGATACACACGCAGAGATACACACGCAGAGATACACACGCAGAGATACACACGCAGAGATACACACGCAGAGATACAGAGATACATGCAGAGATACACACGGAAATACACGCAGAGATACACACCGAGATACACAGAGAGATACACACGCAGAGATACATGCAGAGATACACGCAGAGATACACACGCAGAGATACACACGCAGAGATACACACGCAGAGATACACAGAGATACGTAGATACACACGCAGAGATACAGAGATACACACGCAGAGATACACAGAGATACACACGCAGAGATACACATGCAGAGATACACAGAGATACGTAGATACACACGCAGAGATACACAGAGATAGAGATACACACGCAGAGATACACAGAGATACGTAGATACACACGCAGACATACACAGAGATACACACGCAGAGATACACAGAGATACGTAGATACACAGAGATACACGGAGATACATAAACACACGCGCAGAGATAGAGAGATACACAGAGCGATACATAGAGATACATAGATACAAAAACACAGAGGATACATAGATACAGAGAGATATGTAGATACACGTTCTGCAGATGCAGACACACTCAAGATGCACAGTTACATACACAGAGATACATACACAGACCCGCTCACCCTCTCATCCTCGCCAACCCTCTCATCCGCTCACCATCTCACCCTCTCATCCACTCACCCTCTCATCTACTCACCCACCCCTCACCCACTCACCCGCACGTCACACATCCTTCACCCACTCACCCTCTCACCCACTCACCCACTCACCCCTCACCCACTCACCCACACGTCACACATCCCTCACCCACTCACCCTCTCACCCACTCACCCACTCACCCCTCACCCACTCACCCCTCACCCAACCCTCACCCACTCAACCACTCACCCACACGTCCCTCACCCACCTACCCTCTCACCCACCCCTCACCCACCCTTCACCCTCTCAACTGCCTGTCACCCACTCGCTCCACCCTCTCACCCACTCAACCACTCACCCACACGTCCCTCACCCACTCACCCTCTCATCCACTCACCCACCCCTCACCCGCCTGTGACCCACTCCCTCCACCCTCTCACCCACTCAATCACTCACCCACACGTCCCTCACCCACTCGCCCTCTCACCCACTCGCCCTCTCATCCACTCACCCACCCCTCACCCTCTCACCCACTCAACCACTCACCCACCCGTCCCTCACCCACTCAACCTCTCACCCACTCACCCACCCCTCACCCTCTCACCCACTCAACCACTCACCCACACGTCCCTCACCCACTCACCCTCTCACCCACTCACCCACCCCTCACCCTCTCACCCACTCAACCACCCTCTCACCCACCCACCCCCTCACCCACCCCTCACCCCCTCACCCACCCACCCAACCACACGTCCCTCACCCGCTCGCCCGCGGCCCCCGCTCACCCACCCACTCACCCCGTTGCCGAAGGGCAGCCCTCGGTAGGCCCCGGGGTTGCAGAGCCACGCGAGGAGCGGCGGGAGGTAGGCGAGCGCCGCCCCGGCGGGGAGGCGGTGGCACACGCCGCCCGGCTCCGCGCCCGTCGCCACGGCGACCGCGCCGGCGGCCGCCACGGCGACGACGTCGGCGCCGGCCAAAACCGGCGCCCAGCAGCGAGCGGCCAGGGCATCGGGCTGCGCGAAGCCGGCCCTCAGCAGGGCCTGCGGTGGCAGGGGAACGGGGCCGCACGGTTACCGCGGCGACGAGCCCCCCCCCCACGCCCCCCACGCCCCCCCCCGCCCGCCCCCCCCCCCACGCCCCCGAGGGCTAGGCAAGCGTGGCCGACCTTCTTGACGTCGCCGGGGAAGGGCACGGCGTCCAGCGAGCGGTAGGCGGTGAAGGGCCGAGCCGAGTGGGCGACCACCCCGTCCCAGGTGGGCCGTGCGGCCCGCCTCCACGACCTCGCCTGCACGCAAACACAAAGGTGGTGCACGCCCGCCCGGCCCGCCGCCCCGCCCGCCCGCCCACCCACACCACCCACCCACCCACCACCCACCCACCACGCAAGGTAGCCCCCCACACACGCACAGAAGACTGTCAGGGGTGGGTGGGGGTGAGGGGCAAGTGCTGTCACGCTTACGAAGGGGGGGGGGGGGGGGGGGGGGGGGCGGGTTGGGGGGGTTGTTGTGGCCCGTGACCACGCGCGCCCGGCCGTCTTTGTCTCTCTCCCGAGCTGTCACCATCTCTCCGGATAGCGGGGAGGTTAGGGGTGAGGGTTTGCGTGTGTCCCAGTGTTCCCCAATGCTGCGTCTACGAGTAGGGAGACACACTGCTGGATTCAAACACAGCGAGTGGTGAACGTCTCGAGGCTGCGCTGCGTGTGTCCCAGTGTTCCCCAATGCTGCGTCTACGAGTAGGGAAACACACTGCGGGATTCAAACACAGCCAGTCGTGAACGTCTCAGTGCTGCGCTGCGTGTGTCCCAGTGTTCCCCAATGCTGCGTCTACGAGTTGGGAGAGACACACTGCTGGATTCAACAAACACAGCGAGTGGTGAGAGTCTCATTGCTGCGCTGCGTGTGTCCCAGTGTTCCCCAATGCTGAGTCTACGAGTTGGGAGACACACTGCGGGATTCAACAAACACAGCTAGTGGTGAGCGTCTCCAGGCTGCGCTGCGTGTGTCTCAGTGTTCCCCAATGCTGCATCTACGAGTAGGGAGACACACTGCTGGATTCAACAAACACAGCGAGTGGTGAGCGTCCCGGGGCTGCGCTGCGTGTGTCCCAGTGTTCCCCAATGCTGCGTCTACGAGTTGGGAGAGACACACTGCTGGATTCAAACACGGCGAGCGGTGAGTGTCTCGAGGCTGCGCTGCGTGTGTCCCAGTGTTCCCCAATGCTGCGTCTACGAGTTGGGAAACACACTGCTGGATTCAACAAACACAGCGAGTGGTGAACGTCTCATTGCTGCGCTGCGTGTGTCCCAGTGTTCCCCAATGCTGCGTCTACGAGTTGGGAGAGACACACTGCTGGATTCAACAAACACAGCGAGTGGTGAACGTCTCATTGCTGCGCTGCGTGTGTCCCAGTGTTCCCCAATGCTGCGTCTACGAGTAGGGAGACACACTGCTGGATTCAAAGAGAGCCAGTTGTAAACGTCTCAGTGCTGTGCTGCGTGTGTCCCAGTGTTCCCCAATGCTGCATCTACGAGTAGGGAGACACACTGCTGGATTCAACAAACAGCCAGTTGTAAACGTCTCGGGGCTGCGCTGCGTGTTTCCCAGTGTTCCCCAATGCTGCGTCTACGAGTAGGGAGACACACTGCTGGATTCAAAGAGAGCCAGTTGTAAACGTCTCAGGGCTGCGCTGCGTGTGTCCCAGTGTTCCCCAATGCTGCGTCTACGAGTAGGGAGACACACTGCTGGATTCAAAGAGAGCCAGTTGTGAACGTCTCAGTGCTGCGCTGCGTGTTTCCCAGTGTTCCCTAATGCTGCATCTACGAGTAGGGAGTCACACTGCTGGATTCAAAGAGAGCCAGTTGTAAGCGTCTCAGTGCTGTGCTGCGTGTTTCCCAGTGTTCCCCAATGCTGCGTCTACGAGTAGGGAAACACACTGCTGGATTCAAACAGAGTGGTGAGCGTCTCGAGGTTGCGCTGCGTGTGTCCCAGTGTTCCCCAATGCTGCGTCTACGAGTTGGGAGAGACACACTGCTGGATTCAACAAACACAGCCAGTTGTAAACGTCTCGGGGCTGCGCTGCGTGTGTCCCAGTGTTCCCCAATGCTGCGTCTACGAGTTGGGAAACACACTGCTGGATTCAAACAGAGTGGTGAGCGTCTCGAGGCTGCGCTGCGTCACCTGCAGTTGGAAGTCGTGCTTCTCGTAGTTCAGAGGGCTCGGGTTCAGTATCTCCAAGAGCCTTACAGCGCGCACAGCATACACGCACAGCACAGGCTTAGCCTATCGTGCAATAGCATAGCTATCTTCTCTGGTTCTTTCCGTAAAGTCACCACCACCACCACGTAGAATGAGAATAAAAGAATGAGTTGATAAAAATAACGGCAATAATATTCTCACGACGTTTCGGCCACAGCACGAGCAGCCTTCATCAGGCGAAGGGACGAGACTGCCCGATGAAGGCCGCTTGTGTTGTGGCCGAAACGTCGCGAGAATTTTCCCGCGTTATTTTTTTACCGACTCAATTATTTTATTGCCATTCTACGTGGCGGCGGTGGTGACTTTGCCGAAAGAACCAAAGAGGACGAATCCCTTGCAGTCGCCAAAGCTTTAAATCGAAAGCGTAGCTATTCAACAAACAATTTTCATCTCCCTGCTCCTCTCCGTGCAGTTGCGCGCCAATTTCTGACCTAAGACGCCGCTAGCCCCCCGGCCACTCCTTTACCACCCTTGGGCCACACGCATTCCAAACCTTTCCAAACACTCGGCCTCAGCAGCAGGGCCCAAGGGCTTTCCCACCTGACGACGGGGACGCTTGCGTGCCGCTCCCGAAACGTCGGAATTGATTTCGCGCACCTACTACCCGTGGTGACTTTACCGGCATAACCCAACGAAAGCTTCAAATCAAGATTCGACTCGTGTCTCATTTTACCTGCCAAGGCATCCACAGAGCTGCTCCTTTTGACAGGAAGCCAGCCGGGGCCCGTCGCAAATGACAGCAGCTCAACCGCGTGGCTTCCCGTATTCTCAGCTCTTTCGGTAAAGTCACCACGTTGAAGGGAAACAATAAAATAATAATAAAATATATATAAAACAATACAACAAAATTCTCATGACGTTTCGACCATAACACAAACGGTCGTCATCAGGTGCGTCGGTTCGCATTAATTTATTTATTTTTAAACGGTGTATTTATTTATTTATAAAAACCGTCAGCGCCACGTGCAGCGATTTGTCAGTTTGTTTAGAAGGACGAGTCCATCTATGTTCTGAAAAGAGGAGGGGGGGAGACGAAATTTAATGTATGCTGTCTGAAAGCCACCGTAAGCGTGAACAATCAATTAAGACCCGAAATGGTTTATCAAATCCTTCCAATGATTGCTAAGCCAGAATCCATCTTCTCGGTTGAAATTGTCTCTGTGCTTGTATACGTGGATAGCGTGGCTTCCGGTCGAACGTCATCATCGACGTCGCCGCCATCACCGCGTGGGGATTTATAGCGGCAGCGAAACGCCCTTAGAATCACGTGGAGGCGTTGAACCTACAATTTCGGAGGACTCCCGGGAAAAAGACCCTGGAATCTTCAACCTCAACCACCCTCACCCAGACACCCTCACCCACCCACCCACCCACACGCACCCTCACCCACTCACCCACACCCTCACCCAACAACCCCCTCACCCACCCACCCACCCTCACCCACCCTCACACACCCACCCACACACACCCACCCACACACACCCACCCACACCCACCCTCACCCACCCTCACCCACACACACCCACCCACCCACACACACACCCACACACACCCTCACCCACCCTCACACACCCACCCACCCTCACCCACCCACACACACCCACCCTCACACACCCACACACACACCCACAACAACCGCCATTCACCACTAAGTGGCGGCGACGTCACCACGACGCTTGTGCCAGGCTATGTGCACCCTGAGGCCACGTGAAGTGTCGAATGCCCGCTGGCAGGAGGTCACGGGGCAGACCCAGGTGCCACGGGTCGACTGACACACACCCACACACACCCTCACCCACCCACCCACACATACCCACCCTCACCCACCCTCACCCACTCACCCACCCTCACCCACTCACCCACCCTCACCCACTCACCCACTCACCCACCCTCACCCACTCACCCACCCTCACCCACTCACCCACCCTCACCCACCCACCCACCCTCACCCACCCTCACCCACTCACCCACCCTCACCCACTCACCCACCCTCACCCACTCACCCACCCTCACCCACTCACCCACCCTCACCCACTCACCCACCCTCACCCACTCACCCACCCTCACCCACTCACCCACCCTCACCCACTCACCCACCCACCCACCCTCACCCACCCACACACACATACCCACCCTCACACACCCACCCACACACACCCACACACAACCACTCACCCACACACCCTCACCCATCCACACCCTCACCCACTCACACACACCCTCAAACACCCACACACCCTCACACACACTCACACACCCACCCACCCACACCCTCACCCACCCACCCACACACACCCACCCTCACCCACCCTCACCCACCCACCCTCACCCACCCTCACACACCCACCCACACACACCCACCCACACACACCCTCCCTCACCCTCACTCACCCACCCTCACCCACCCTCACGCACCCACCCTCACCCACCCACAACACACACACACCCACCCTCACCCACCCACCCTCACCCACTCACCCACCCACACACACCCACCCTCACCCACCCACCCTCACACACCCACACTCACCCACCCACCCACCCTCACCCACCCACCCTCACCCACACACCCACCCTCACCCACACACCCACCCTCAACCACCCACCCACCCTCACCCACACCCACCCACCCTCACCCACCCACACACACCCACCCACACCCTCACACACCCTCACCACCCACCCTCACCCACCCACCCTCACCCACCCACCCACCCTCACCCACCACCACCACCCAGAGTGGCTCTCACCTCGTCTCTAGGGCCCTCTTGCTCAGACCGTCGAATTTCTCTGCAGACTCCGGCTCATGTGCCCTGTACACAAAGTGCACACTCACAGTGACACTTACACTCACACTTACACACTCACAGTGACACACTCAGTGACACACTTACACACACACACACTCACACACACTCAGTGACACACTCACAGTGACACACTCACAGTGACACACTCAGTGACACACTCAGTGACACACTCACAAAGTGACACACTTACACTTACACAGTGACACACTCAGTGACACTCTCAGTGACACACTTACTCACTCACAGTGACACACTTACACAGTGACACACTCAGTGACACACTCAGTGACACACTTACACTCAGTGACACACTCTCAGTGACACACTCACACTTACACACACTCACAGTGACACACTTACACACACACACTCACAGTGACACACTTACAGTGACACACTCACGCTCAGTGACACACTCACAGTGACACACTCAGTGACACACTCACAGTGACACACTCACTCACAGTGACACACTTACTCACACACAGTGACACACTCACACAGTGACACACTCAGTGACACACTTACACTCACACTCAGTGACACTCAGTGACCCACTCACAGTGACACACTCAGTGACACACTTACAGTGACACACACTCAGTGACACACACTTACACACACTCACAGTGACACACTTACACAGTGACACACTTACACTCACACACTCAGTGACACACTCACACTCACAGTGACACACTTACACTCACAGTGACACACTCACACTCACAGACTCACAGTGACACACTCACACTGACACACTTATACTCACACACTCACAGTGACACACTCAGTGACACACTCACACACACAGTGACACACTTACACTCACACACTCACAGTGACACACACTTACACACACACAGTGACACACTTACACTCACACACACTTACACTCACACACAGTGACACACTTACACACAGTGACACACTTACACTCGCACACACTCAGTGACACACTGACTCTCACACACACTCAGTGACACACTCACACACAGTGACACACTTACACTCGCACACACTCAGTGACACACTCACACACAGTGACACACTTACACTCGCACACACTCAGTGACACACTTACACTCGCACACACTCAGTGACACACTCACACACAGTGACACACACTCACACAGTGACACACTTACACTCGCACACACACAGTGACACACTTACACTCGCACACAGCGACACTTACACTCACACACACTCAGTGACACTTACAATCACACACAGTGACACACTTACACTCGCACACACTCAGTGACACAACACTCACACACAGTGACACATTGTGGGGAGCGATAGTGTGGCGGTTAGCGCTACGCTGCGCTATGAACCTGGCGACCCGAGTTCGATTCCCGCTCACGGCCAACACCAGTGACGATTATCTGAACCGGTCCCGGGCCTCCCCTAGGTCGACTCAGCCTCAAATGAGTACCTGGTGCGGTGTGTAAACATTACCACTAGGAGACAAAGGCGGTCGGGCGTGGTGCTGGCCACCCACCCCCTCTCGCACACACTCAGTGACACAACACTCACACACAGTGACACATTACACTCACACAGTGACACACACTCGCACACAGTGATACTTAACACTCGCACACAGTGACACACACTCGCACACACTCAGTGACACTTACACTCACAGTGACACACTTACACTCACACACAGTGACACACTTACACTCGCACACACTCAGTGACACTTACACTCACAGTGACACACACTCACACAGTGACACACTTACACTCGCACACACAGTGACACACTTACACTCACAGTGACACACTCGCACACTCAGTGACACTTACACTCACACAGTGACACATTTACACTCACAGTGACACACTTACACTCACACACACAGTGACACACTTACACTCGCACACACTCAGTGACACTTACACTCGCACAGTGACACACTTACACTCACACCAGTGACACACACTCACACACAGTGACTTACACTCGCACACACTCAGTGACACACTCACACAGTGACACACTTACACTCACACAGTGACACACACTCACAGTGACACACTTACACTCGCACAGTAACACACTCACACATACACTCAGTTATACTCACTCACAGTCACACACAGTCACACAAAGATCCCCCGTGTAGCCTTAACAGACTGTCGGGGCAGGTGCTGTTAGCGAGCACCTATGAAGGCCGGAACGGTACACGAGGGGGTGGGTGACCAGCACCACGCCCGACCGCCTTTGTCTCCCCAGTGGCGATGTTTACTACACACGCACCAGGTACTCATTTGAGGTTGAGTCGACATAGGGGAGGCCCGGGACCGGTTCAGATAATCGTCACTGGTGGTGTTGGCCGTGAGCGGGAATCGAACCCGGGTCGCCGGGTTCATAGCGCAGCGCGCTAACCGCTGCACCATCGCTCCTAGTCACACTCAATCAGTCTCACACTCAGTCACACTTAAAACTCGCACACAGTCACTCACACACTCAAGTCACTCACACACTCACCCACGCACTCACCCACTCACACAGTCACTCACACACATTCACTGTCACTCACCGTCACACACAGTCACAGTTACTCAGTCACTCAATCACAGTCACACTCACAGTAACGCAAAAACCACCGCCATTCGCCACTAAGTTGCGGTGACGTCTGCACGGCGCTCGTGCCAGGCTAGGTGCACCCCGAGGCCATCGCGTGAAGAGTGGCAGGCTGCTCGCTGCTGGCAGGAGGGTCACGGGGTCAGACTCGCTCACCCTCGCCCGCCCACAGGGTTGCACTCACCTTGTCGCTAGGGCGGTCTTTCTCAGGCCGTCTGGTTTCTCTAAGGACGCCTCATGTGCCCTGTACACAAAGTGCACACACACACTCAGTCACTTTCACACACAAAGACAAAGATCCCCCATATAGCCTTGACAGACTGTAGGAGCAAGTGCTGTTAGCGAGCACCTATGAAGGCCGGAACGGTACACGAGGGGGTGGGTGGCCAGCACCACGCCCGACCGCCTTTGTCTCCCTAGTGGCGATGTTTACACACCACACCAGGTACTCATTTGAGGCTGAGTCGACCTAGGGGAGGCCCGGGACCGGTTCAGATAATCGTCACTGGTGTTGGCCGTGAGCGGGAATCGAACCTGGGTCGCCAGGTTCATAGCGCAGCGCGCTAACCGCTACACTATCGCTCCCCACACACACACACACTTACTCAGGCACACACTCGCACTTAGTCACCCACAAACAGTCACACTCACAGTTCTAGTCACACACTCGCGAGTGTCACACTCGGTGACACTCGCACTCAGTCAGTCGCACAGGTCACTCACGGTCAAGTCACTCACAGTCACTCAGTCCCACTCGCAGTCCTTCACACATTCACTCACACACAGTCACACAGACACAACAACAACCGCCAGTCACAACAAAGTGGTGGTGACGTCACCACGGCGCTTTGTGTCAGGCTAGGTGCACGTTAAGGCCACGTGAGGTGTCGAACGCCCGCTGGCAGGAGGTCATGGGGCAGACCCAGGTGCCACGGGTCGACTGAGATGACTGAGATGAGTGGCCAATGCACCACCTGTGCCCCCTACTGTGCCAACTTGCTGTGCTTTAGCCACCTGGCATTCCTCTCGTTGTTGTGAGCGTCGCTCCTCCACCCTCCGTTGTTGTTGGAGGGCGACTACCTCCAACTGCCCAGTAGCGTCCTTCACGAGCCTCCTCCACAGAGGCCGATCTTGACACAGCTGGTACCAGTCATCGGCAAGTCCACTCAGCTCCACATCCTCATGTACCACATCACTCCATCTCTTCTCTAGCCCGTGCCGCGCCCGTTTAGCCCCCCCGATCCGGCCGCACAAAAGCTGTTTAGGCATGCGGTGGCTGGGCATGCGGGCTACATGACCCAGCCAATGCAGCCTTGCCTGCCGGAGCTCACCGAAGGGACCCTGCCCAGATCTTTCAAGGATTTGTGAGCTCCTCACACAATCCAGCCTGGTTAAACCCAGGATGGATCGTAGGCAGGCCAGCCTGAATGTTTATAACCAACTAAGATGTTCCATTAGGGGGGTCCACGTTTCGCAAGCGTAGTGGAGGGAATGGCCTTGACCGAGAAGACTCGAAGCTTCGTATTGAGCGACAGACCAGGTAGCTTCCACACAGCGTTACACAACCGATGAAAAGATGCCGCTCGACTGATTCGGAGTGAGACCTCTGCTGTCGAACCGGAACCGTTCATGAGCACACTGCCCAGGTATGGGAAAATCTCCACTCTCTCCACAACTGCCCTATCACCGATTGGGAGTTGTGGGGGTGGAGTGTCCGATGGTACAAAATACCCAGGCAGGTGCTTAGTTTTGGTTGGGCTGATGGTAAGGCCCCACCTCTTAGTGGCACGCTCCAGGTTCAGCAGCAGCGCCTCCAACTCCTCCTCTGAGTGAGCAGCAATCAACGAATCATCGGCATACTTAACATGGTTGACCAACAGGAAGCCATCCCTTGACCGCAACCCAGGCATCGATCAGCCTCCCATTGTATCTGTACCAGATAGAAATTCCTCCGGTACAGCCATCGAAGGCTTCACGAACTACGTGGTCAAAGTAGATGTAACATAATGTGGGAGCCAAAGGACATCCCTGTTGCACCCCAAGGTTAACAGGGAATGACTCCGACTCCCAGCCATAGTTTTACCCAGGCCTGCTCACCAAAATGAAGGTCCTTAATGATTGTGAGCAGTCAGGCACTCCGAAAGCACGAAGAACAACCCAGAGCACAGGCCTACTGATGGTATCATAGGCCTTGACCAGGTCAATAAAGCAGAGTTGTAGGTTTTGTATGCTTGCCAGGACCTTTCACGGCACACTGAGGAGTGGGATGCCCCTGTAGTTGTTACAGTTTGTGTGGTTCCCCTTCTTAAAGAGGGGGACCACCACAGGGCATCCTTCCAATCCTGTGGAACCCGTCCAGTGGTCCAGACTGTTATATCATGTCGGGTAGTCTGCACACAAACACCACCCTCCCTCAACATTTCGCTTGGGAGATAATCTCTGAACGGTGCGTTTCCTGGTCTCATACTCTGGATCGCCTTCTGTACTGCCTCAACATATGGTACCTCAGCCAGCCACTCACAGGGGGTAACTACTTCCAATAGTTTAGGCACGGCAGCCTCAGCAGGGTCATCCCTACTTTGCCCCAAAATGTTTTCCAGGCTGAGGGATTTCTCCTCCCCCAAAACTTCACAGAAATGCTCAGCAAATTTGCAAACCTGTTCCTGGGGGTCGGAGATTGGATCACCTTACTTTTCCCTAACGATGAGGATAGACGTGGCGCTGCAAGTTACTTTTTTGATGGCGTTAAGACAGTGATTTGTGATCGCGGCCCACTGAGGTAGACTCCATCCCCTCAGCAACCCACAACCACCACCCACCATCCTTGCAGCAAAACATGGCTTTCCGAACCTCCGAGCGAAGGCTGCGGTAAGCCTCCTCATTCTATGTGATGCTTTAGATGGTGAGAGTGGGCCTGTCACTTTTTCTCAGCCAGCCTGAACACCTCCTCTGTCAGCCAGGGTCTCTAGTGAGGTTTGGACCATGTACGCAAAGCAGACATTGCAGCTGCATGAGCCACAGCCCTAAACCTCGCCCATTTCCCCTCGGCATCCAGAGTGGGGGACGATGCCAACCCCAGCCGCAAGCGATGATGTAACTCTCGCTTGCAACTTTCATAATCTAGCTGAGACCAGGCCACTGTGAATTTGAATGGGGTCCTGGGCATACACCCACCACTGGAGTGGAAGAATGACAGGTACATATTACATATGACCAGCCGATGGTCAGTGGGCAGATCAGCTCCATGGTAGATCCTGGTGTCAATGACATGGGCCCGCATCTGCTGTTCTGTCACTATATAATCCAGCAGATGTTCTTGATTTGGACCCGGCGTGCATCCATGACATTATGTGGATGCGCCGATGCCGAAACAGCGTGTTGGCAATTACAAGCCCATGGGCTGCACAAAAGTCTAGCACCCTCCAACTGTTGTTATTGAGCTCATCTGGCCCATGCCTTCTAATCACTCCAGACAAGGTGCCAGCATCATGACCAACTCAGGCATTGAAGTCGCCCAACAAGATGACTCTATCCCGAGGGGCCACTTTAGCTAGCACCTGTGACAGGTCATAGAAGGCATTTGACTCATCGGCCTTGCCTGCATCCCTCCACGGATGTTCATCTTCGGTGGGGGCAAAAGTAACCACGACCACCACTTCCTCGCCTCTTGTTGATGAGAAAGGTGAGCCCAACATAGCCTTGGGGCAGCCTCTCCCCCGCAGTGAGCGTTCGAACATTCCACGTGGTCACCCGCCGCGGCTTTTTTCTGTTTTCGGAGGAACCCCGAGGGCTAAGGATTCAGTCTCCTGGCTCCGCCAAATGGGCGTTTGGCCAGTCGACGTCTTGGACGCCTGTGTCCCCCCGGGTCATCCGGCACAAGCTTAGCCAAGATATTAATTTTCGCCGTTTTGAGGGGTGGTTACCAGCCCCTCACACACCCATCCAAAGTCCCCTCTGGCTGCTGTGGTAGGCTGCAAATGCCATGAGGGGATAGGGCCCTCCCATGGCACTGCTCAACACAGTGTTATCGTCTGGCACCAACGAAGGGGTAGGGGGTTGTTTTTTTTCCCCTACACACCCCGAAACGTCTCTCGCGCGCGCGTGCGTGCACCTAGCCTGGCACGATGCAGGGGCTCCCTCCATCCGGACTGCGCTGCCCTGGCCTCTCGAAGAGCGGGGTGGGGAGCCCCCCCCGCCCTCATGGAGCACGACCTTGACCTCTGTGTTCATGACGTTGCACATCACGTCCCGGTGCAGCCGATCGTAGTACAGGAACTCATGGTAATCCATGAGCGGGGGAGGGGAGGAGGGCCGCTGGTAGCAGGCGCCGTCACCGTGGCGACCACCGTCGCCGCTGTCACGGCCGTCGCCACGGCAACCGCCGCCGCCGTCGCCGTCGTCAAGGCGATCGTCGCCGCCACAGCCGCCGTGGCGACCCCCAACGCCGTGGCGACCGCCGTAACCGTGACGACGGCCACCACAACCACCGCCACGGATATCGCCGTTGGGATAAGCGCTGCAGTGCTGACCGGCGCCACCGTAACCATAACCTTCGCCATAATCAATACCACGGCTAGCGCCATCACCACAACTACCACCACCACCACCAGCACCGCTACTGGTGTTATCCTGCATCCACACCGGCTCTGGTAGCCGATGCTGCTGCTGCTGCTCCTCCCTCTCCCCCTCCAGCTCCCCACTCTCCCTCTGCGTCTCTCCCTCTCTCACCTCCTCCCCCCGCTCCTCTTCGTCCTCAACCTCCCTAGCCTCCTCCTTCCTCTCCTCGTCACCGCTGCCACTTAGCAGCGACAACACCAGGCCAGGCCGATACTCCTCCTCCATCGCCACCTCCACCTCCCTCTCCACCTCCCTCTCCACCTCCACCTCCCTCTCCACCTCCCTCTCCACCTCCCTCTCCACCTCCACCTCCCTCTCCACCTCCCTCTCCACCTCCTCGTCACCACTGCCACTTTGCAGTGACAACAGCAGGCCAGGCCGATACTCCTCGTCCCTCTCCTCAATCTCCCCCTCCTCCTCCTCCCTCGCCTTCCCCCTCTCCACCTCCACCTCAGTCTCTTCCTCCCTTTCCGCCTCATTTTCCTCTTCCCTCTCCTCTTCATTTTGAATCTCTCCCGCCTCCTCCTCCGCCTCCTCCTCCTCGTCGTCGTCATGGCTGCCACTTGACCGCGACAACACCAGGCCAGGCACACACATCTCGAACTTTGAGAAATCCACAAATGAACCGCCACTACCGCCGCCACCACCACCACCGGCGGCGGCACGGCACAATGGTGCCAGCTGTTTCAATG